ATTTCCCCCCCCCCCCCCACCACCACTTCGCCTTTCCCCGCCCCACACCTTACGCAAACGATTCACACCCCGGCGACGATAGGGGGTCTCCAGACCGGTGTCCCCGACGTCTGCTGCACAGGAAATCTCAACATGGGCCCCGACAGCGTCTGGTTCAACCAAATCCTTTACTGATGGATTAATCGATCGTCGTTCAAATCTCCTCTGTTGTGCTTTGTATCGTAAATGGGCTCGCTCTCTTGTTTTTCTCTCTTTCCCTTACAAAGACGGCCGTGGCGTCGTCTCAACGATTACCACCTATTGCTGTTTAAATCATTCATGGTGACATGGAAGGGATGTTCGAAAGCGCAGCGTGTGCGCTGGATAAGTCTCTTGTTATTTCGCGGTGAACGCTTGGAGCGAGACGCCGATCGGAGCACTGGTCTCTATCTCGCCTTTGATAGACGGGGAGGACGAGAGAGAGAGAGGGGTAGTGTGGTCGGCGCACCGCTTGAGCAGGTATTTCGCGCTTCTTTTTTTTTTGTGAAGGTGTTGATTTTCTGTGTGTGGGGCGGGTGTTGGCTGTTTTTTTTGGTGCACGTTTCGATTTTGTGTGTGTGTGTTGTCTTTTCTGCAAGTGTTGTTCTGGGATGCTCCCTGTGTATGGCACGTGTGCGGTAAGTGGATCGCTTTTCCGTCAGCCAGGCTCTTGTTGTTTTCGATTCACTGTCGTTGACGTGGGTCAGGTTTTGGCCGGTGCGCATCAATATATCTGTCCTCGGCAAGTGTTGATCTATCATTGGATTCATCCTTGCATGATTCGGTCGGAAAGTGAGAGCCTGTGTTTTTATCTGTAAACTTTCCAGCCTTTCTTGACGTGTATTGAATAGATATATATTTTCGCCTCTATTGGCTTGCTAGGCGGGGGGGGGTAGCTCGGGGGACGGGGGAGAGAGGGAATAGTTCCGATTGTCACATGGGGTCATTGGCGGGGGGCTTCTATATCGATTTTCTAGTCGGGACACTCATCCATTCGAGGGAGAGATTCACAACCGAGTTGGTGTGATGTCTTCTTCCACGATACCCTTGTTGCCGGCTTTTTCTCGAAGGGTGAGGGACCGTGTACGCTCTGCTGGTAATCATGAAAAACGTTTCCTGTGAAGTCGTCTCGTGCATGTGTTCAGCGTGGAGTGCCTTTCGACGACACGGCAAGAACCGTATGGCTAGCCTGGGGGATGGATGCAGTAGAAGAGTGGCACGGAGGTTATTTTGTGGGTGTCACTTGCCTTTTTTGTGCGTGTGGTGCGTGGGTAATTTTAGTAGAACATGTTGGTTGTGGCGTTTCCGTGTTGTGTAAGGGTAACGGTTGGGACCAGCTTGACTGTTTTCTCTATCGGCTGTCCACCTAACCCCCTGGCGACCTGTCTCAGACGAGGATCGGGGTGTGTGGGCTGGCGATGGTGCATCTGCATAGTTCGGTCAGTTTACGTGCACCCAGCGTTGACTCTGCGCAGGCTGGCTTGGTGTTTTCGCTCCTTTGCTTTGGCTCGCTGTACAAACTGCTTTGTGGGTTTCCTCACAACAACCTGGGCACGCGCATGCCGGTTGTGTGTCTTGCACCCTGCATTCTACTCGACCCTGGGCACCAAGCTGGTGAAGAATGGGGTTTTCAAGAAGTGTGTGTTGTCCGGGTGGCACCTGAAGTATGTGCATTTGTGTTTCGGCATAGCTGTGAGAAAATAGACTTTTGAACGCTCTGTGAGTTTCTCTTGAGTTCTATCTCTTTTGCTCTTTAGATTGTAGGGGACAATGTCTTAGCCCGTTCATCGATCGAGAAAGAAACCGCGTGCTTCTGGGCAGGTGTGCTGCATGTGTATTGGATATGCCTGGATATGCACGTCCGGATACATGGGCGACCACAAGGTGTAAACTACGGCCTCAACGGGTACCTATGCATAGATCACAGCAAGCTGTAGCTCCCAACAGTGGGTAGCGCGAGTGAGTTCGTATGCGGAGAGTGGATCAACCAACACTTAGTGTCGTTATCCGTTACGGACGCCCGGCCCTGAGGTCGTGAAGGATATTGGCTGGTAGGATCTCCTGCGCGAATGGACGACGACAGCGAAACAGCTGTGGCACAGACCTTTCCAGTGGAAATTGCGTAATTTCTTGGACCACCTTGCCGTGGGCATAACACCGGTTTGGGAGGAACAACCTTCCCCGCGGAGGCATCCCTTGCTATCGGCTTGCTCGAGGACCGCCTTCCTTAAAGTACAAGGGGTACAAGCAAACCTGATTTTGATTTTCAGTACCGACGAATGCAAACTGTGGAAGCGTGGCCTATCGATCCTTTCTAGCTCTGATCCTTTTGTGTTCCGGTCCCTAGGCGGGTGTATACCGATACACCATGATGGCCGGGTTGCGTAGGCTTCGCAAAGATGGGATACCACGGAGGAAGCACTTCGTAAGGTTTTCCACTACATATAAATCTGGGGTATACTACTCGATCGACACCCAACTATCGCGATCCAAGTTCACCTTCTTCCCGGGGGATCAGAAAGTGCTCGTCTGCTGCCAATCATTAGAACGGGGTATTTGCTTTGGTGAAGGCATATTCCGGGGCGGCCGGTGGCCCCGTCCAAACTTGGGTGTGTTGTAGTACTATTGACAATCATCGCGCCAACCCCGCGTCGTGTTGAGACTCACCCCAAAGGGGCATGCGGACAAATCGGCCTCAGAAAACGGCGCCAGGGGCGAGCCGCAAGCACCGGAAGACTCTCTTACCGCCTTCGCTTAGAACCCCCTATCATCCTAGAGCTAGCGGTAGTCTTAATACATGGCACTCAGCCTCGCTGTGGGCCTTCCAACCTCCCATGTATGCACATGATATCATCCACCGCCGCCCTCAAGAACTACACGAGGCAAAACATGGGCTGCTTTAGGTCTCTCCTTTTTCGTGTAACCTGCACCGCGGGCATACTCGATAACATTCCACATTTAAGTACGGAACACTCACCGCGGAGTCGTTCCCTTCCATGCTTGAAGCAGGACGCGCTTCTTACGCAACAACACCTACTCCTTCCTCTAATACAAAACCTGACCTAGCAGTCCCAAAGCGAACGGATACGTTCAGCTATACACTACGCTGGTGGCGGCGAAATCCCATGGAGATAGAACACCCACGGAGGCGTTCCCTTGACTCCAGCGCACTGGACGATGAGCTTCCCCGCTATACTCCTGCCGGCCTCGGCTGTAGTGGTAGTAGAAGAACTGCCACCCGTAGCCTGAGTTCGTGACGTTTTTGTCACCCAGACAGGAGCCACGATGGGGTAAGGCAGGTGCATGCCAACATTCCTTGTCTTGGCAATATTAATATTTCTTGTCTTCCAACAGTGCTAGAAGTATTTTTCGAGTGGTGGTGTTTCGGCGGTTGGTTGGGTGGGGGGGTAGCCACTCACTGGTTGTGATGGACAAGGACGGCTTAGACCGTTGAGTATGTTGGCTTCGTTTTTGTGTCTAGCAGTCGGAGGTCCAAATACACCGTTTTTCTTTTTATGATAAAGCGTGCCATAGGAATGCGACACTCCCAGCCAGGGCGGCATTTCCTCTTCGTGTTGGCGATTTGGGTAGGCATGCGAAGGAGGAACATCTCCCACCCCGACTATCGACTGTGAAACGACGGCCATCCCATGCTATTCGGAGGCAACAGCCAATTGTCCAAAACGCTGATTAGATTAGAGACCTGTAGCTCGCCGTGCAACAGTATTTTACAGAATGAAAGACGAGAGACGAAAGCAAGACGTACGTGTGTTCGGAGCATACCTGTGTGGTGGTAGGAGTGAACTTGATGGTGACCGACCTGGACGTCTTGGCCGCGATGTTCTGCCTGTCGCCGCTGACCACGGCAAACGCAGGGTTGTCGCACGTAAAGGTGAAGTCCATCGCCGCCGCGAACACGTTCCGGAATGGGATCTCTCTCTGCCCACCTGGGGCAATTGTGAAGGGTCCCTGTTTTGACGTCCCAAGAGGAGAAAGATGAGAACGCCAGGGGGAGACGTGCGGGGGGCAAGACATTACTTCGCGGAGGTGGAAGGGGACGGGTGCAATTGTGGTTGCTGTATGGGTGACCGTGAAAGAGAGGTTAATCTTGTATGCCCATGATAACAAGTGTTTTATTTGAGCGAGAGCGTCAGCGGAAGGAACGCAATCAAAGTGAGGCTGGAGGGGAAGGGCGATGATTTCTATCTCGTCGCAATGATTGATTGGACCCTTGCCGACGCATCTCGATCGAGACGGAACGGCAGGGACGAGGAGGGGAGAGGTAGGGTAGAACCCTTGGTGTTGCTTGGCTCTGGCCTTTTGAGCATGGACAGCACGCGAAGGCGGTTGTTCGCGCAAAGGCCCGGCTTTCAACGTGGAGGCATCGATAGCAGCATCATCATCAACGACAAGGAGAACAACGTACCTGCGGCAGAGGGGGGCTACACAAACCCCTTAGCTTGCAGCGGTAGCTCCCGTGCTCCGCCGACGAGAGGACAAGCGTGTCTCCGACCTCGCCCGTACACTCCGGCTCGAAGACAACCTCCACGCGCACATCTTGGCCGTCCCAGGATGAACACGGGGGAGCGGTCACCTGAAGCCGGTGTGTCGGGATGAGCGGTAAGAATGTGGAATGAACAGGAAGGGCTAGACGAGAATGGAACAGGAATTGGTGTATTCCTTCGCGGGTGACACCCCGGAAACTTGATTGATCCCCTGTTCAGCTCGCTTGATTCCTCTGAACGAAGCAAATCTGATCTGGAACTCGACCGCATGATTCAAACTAGCGTGAGCCGAATCGAGGAATGGATAGACATTGAAACAACAACAAAATGTCTTGGATGTCAAGGCAAACGAACCACTAGCTGGCACCAGGAAATTATGTAGTTGTCAATTTTTCTCGCATCACTTTGTTGCGTTGATAGGCGCTCCCTATGCGCACGGCCACACCCATGCCAGATGAAAGAACAAAGTAAAACACGTGTGAATACCTTTGTTGGCACCCTGAAGTGTGTCCCCTGACCACCTTCCAGGTGACACTCGAAATCCACTGGCTCGGCAGCGTTGAAGACCTTCATCGTATGAAATGACCGGCACGAATGATTGGGTGCGCTGTTTGTATGGTTGCGTTTTTCACACGGCTCTCCTTGTCCCGTTTCATGCTCCGAGAAATAGTTGAAGAGCGTGTTGCTCACGATGGTCTTTGAGGGCACGGGAAAATCGTCGAGACATGCTTGGATGCTCTCCCAAAAATGCTTCCATCAACTGCGAAAATATTTTTCGTCTCTCCCTTCGACAACGCTTCGGTATTTTGTGATGCTCCCACCAACGTCAGCAACCAACATCAACGACACGTACCAAGGTCGACACCACCATACCCTCCATACCAACAAACGAACATAAACAAGGACAACAACCTTCACACTAGCCACCGTGTTTGTTTAAGCAACCCTGGTGTCTTCCACACCTTCATCACGAATGCCTCGGATTGGGTCGCCCCGAGAGTTGATTCGAAACGCAGGGAGGAACTCGAAGGGGGCGATTTGGCGGAAAGCAGAAGGGTATACCTGTGACGGGGAGGGGGGGTGACGAGAGAGGGGAAGTGGAGAGTAGGAGGGGTTGGGGAGTGGGGGGCCGAGGGGGAGCTGGGCAAAGAGGCGACAGCAGTGAACCTTTAGAACAATTGCCAAGCTAATTACAATTGCACCTGGACATACACGTCACCTAATGACACTTTTCACTGTTTGGTTCTAATGGCATGGAGAAATAACAGGGAAACGGACCCTACCTTGTTGTCTCGTTAGTGGGATTTTTTAGTATTCTGTTGGGGTCAAATTAAAAAAGAGATGCGCTTGTTATCCGTTCGCACCGTTACCCTTGTGTTGGTCGACTCCATCCGCTGTCTCTGTCGAAAAACAGCTCATGTTTGTTGGATCCATCCATTTGTACTTTTGTGTGAAGCGCACACACACGCGAGACAATAACTAGTTCCGTATGAAGTAACGCGCACATGCGCACCCCTCTCACGTACGGCCTATTAGAACTGAAAACTTTTCCAATCGGAAGGCAGAGAGGATCACATAATTTACCCGCCGAGACTCACGAGTGCTCGTTGGTCAGCTGGTCAGCGCGACCGATCCTCATCACAGAACCGCATAACCATTCCTTGGTCAGGCGGTTGGCATGGTCGGTGTTGCACTACTGATAAAATAAACACCTGTAAGTTCCCAGCTCTTGGATGTCAAAGCTAAGTTCCGCCTCTTCTGGCTTCTGATCGTCAGTGGCCACGAGGGGCCGGTAGTCCACCGCGAACACGCCTTCCAAGTTGCCGGCCATTTCCCCGACGCGCACCAGGCGCACATGCCGGGACGAGCATTTCCACCATCCCTACGAAAGAAAGGAAATACCACATTGACACACAATTATGAACAATGTTCGTATGCAAAACGTTTCGTTCTCCACGCTGCCACCCTCGGCCTCCGTATTTGACCGCTACCTCCACCTGCTTGACACCGTACTACAAACAATCACAGGTTCCCACCTCAGCGTGACCGCCTGCGGCGGTGGTTCTAACGCCGCCTGCAGGACCGGCGACATCGGCAGCAGCAGCGGGGTCTCCGTTCGGGAAGGTGATGGGCTCGTCCGGACGCAGGGGGTTCGCCACCGTGATCAGGCGGCGCGTGAGGCTGCGCACAGACCCCTCTAGCACGATCGTCTCCTAAGAGGGCGTTGTTCCCAATGATGCGTCAAGAAAACCGAGCAAGGCAGACGGGATTTGGACCATGAGGTGTCGGTTCGTGCGGCGGCTGCTTGCTGTTCGGTGTTTTCGCTGCAAAAAATGGAGCAATTCTTTGTGGAAACTTGACGTGTACACAGAGTGCCCGCCTCTCTCTCTCAGAAGGTGCTGGCTTTCTTCTTTTCGGTATCCCATCTAATACTACATACTGTGTCTATCGGTGTTCTCCGGTCTCTCGAAAGGACATAGACATGGGAAACGAAAAAAGGTCGAATTGCCGGCGGTGGTGAGGGAGGCGATTTCGACGCCTGGCGAAGCGATTCAAGATACCACTAGGAGGGAATTACACAAGCTCGTACTAACGGTTGGAGGTACTGCCAGTCCCACCATACGAAGCCGAATTGGCCTTCAGATAGAGGCACTCTTTAGATATGGTTTTCGAGGAGCTCTCAACGAGATGTACTCGAGATGTGTCCATCCAACACATCATGGAAGGTACTGGAAGTCGGTGGGCACCTGGGGCCGTCGCTCGTGAACGTGCCACACCCCGTACAAAACAAGACAACACGGGGTCAAGAAAAGGTGGTCCCAGTTTTGAACAACTGGAAAAGCATCAAACGCGTGATTGCGTGGTCTTTTGAGGTGTCCCTGCTGCCTTCTGGCCCCCCCACTCGCATACATACCTGGACGTTAGGGGGCGTAACCTTGAACGTGAGGCGGTGGAATAGATACTCGTCGGTGTCGTGGTTGGTGAAGGTAACCGTGGCGGTGGTAACGCCTTCCTTGAAGGCCAAGAACCGTAGCGCGAAGTCCTTCGTCGCAAGCGCCGGTACCTGCCGTCGATATTGTTTCCTTCTGTTAGCGTACCCCAACATAAGTTGCCGCCGTCGTCTTGAACCATGGGAATGGCTGAATGCGTAACCCTGCAAAGGGCTGTTTGCTGATTGGACCTAGTACAAGTGATCTAGGGCCTGCCCTGCAACAACCGGTATCGGTATCTCTATCGGTTGCCCGGATTCTTGAACGGAACGCAGATTCCTGTCTCAGAGATTTGGCTACGACTGTGCCCTTTGTCGAGGAGTTCGACCCATCTCGTTCGTATCGCGTTCCACGAGAAACGGCTCCAGAGGAGGGGTGTTCATTCTGCCAAAGGCACGACCGTGGCTCTAAATAGAACCGACACAGTCCCTAGCCATTTCCTCTTTTTCGATTGGTATGGTGAGGCATGGCTTGGCGGGGTTCCCTGTTGGTGTGGTCTGATGCTTCAGAGCGTACCTCTATGGTTTTGGCCCCGGATAGCGTTGTCGACGACGAAGCCCCCGACTCGAGAACGGCCTTCATTGTGAACCTGACCGCAGGAGTGTAGGATTTGCGTTTTTGCACAAACTATCGTTGGTTTTCGTCCGTTGTGGCAAATCAGGGGCCAGCGCACGGAATCAGAAACACATCCCTTGAACCGGAATGGTTACGGTTCAGAAAGGCAGGGACTCGATTTCACAAAGCAAGACTTGTTCTGTATTTTATCACCTATAATGTCGGCAAAGAACACCTTTCAAACAGCATCAAAGGTACAGCAAACGTGACGTTCACAGACAACAATTGTGACTCCCGAGATATCCTACCTTTGACCACGTCGAAGCCAGTTAGCAACGGGCAGCGTGAACGCCAGCGCGGTCTTCGCGGGCGTCTCGAGCTCCACGCTAGACGCGGCCTCTGGCCCGTCTGCCTCGCCCTCGAGCCTGTACAGCACGGCCCCGCCGTCCGGGAGGGCGAAGAACAACGACCCACAGAGCATGACCGGCTTGCCGTCAAGCCCGACAGCGATAGCGGCGCTGCTGCTTGCGTCTCCTTGCAACTCATGTCCTTGTTTCTCCTGCGCTCGGGCGATCGCGCAGCAACAGCAGCGAAAGCAGCAAAAGCAGCAGCAATTGACAACTATTCGATCATGCCGACCAAGCATCAGCTGTCTGTGGACATTTCTATGTTTATCGCACCAGCTTCTCTGAGTGCGTGTTCACGGTACATGAGACGCTAGTGTCGCTTCCTCGTTTTCTTGGTGTTCTCCTTGGCTATGCTTTTACCTTGTAACGCCAACTACGGAAACACGAACGACGGGCAAAGACCAACCCGATCTCAGAAGGGGACTACAAAAAGGATAAACAACAACTGAGGAATGTGTCTCAACGTCTCAGCCGCGTTCTTCCTCCTGGATGCAGTTTTCGTATCTCGGCTGCGTGGTTTCGGCGTGGTCTGAACAAGAAAAATACTCACTCTCCGTGAGGTTTGATGAACGACCGCAAGAACGACTATTCAAGTGATACAATTGCCACGCGGAGTCATCTTCAACCGACCGTTGATCCTCTGCACCATACGGTGGGTCGCCCCGTGAACAATCTTGTAATTTTCTGAACGTCTCGAACGAGGGAGCAATTACCTGCGAAGTGTCTTGATGTTGTTGACGGCTACCTCCACCTCCGCTGGAGGGTGTCGCTCGAGAGCGGGGGTCGCTCGCATCGTTAACAGGGCGAGGAGGAGATGCTGACGTCATCGCCAGCGGGAAGAACTCGATCGTGTACTCAGCCGTTCCCTTAGCGGGTATCTGGTACGACAAAAGGAAGACCAAGACGAAGAGGAAGAAGCGCTTGTGGTGTGAGTGGGGGAGGAGGCGGGGCGAATAGTCGCCATCTACTACCAACATCTGCCGTATAGTACCGTGTCGGTAGAACCTTGAATCCTTAAAATGTATGCCGATAGAGGTCAAGTAACTACCGCCGTACCTGCAGCTGTCCAGCCCCTTGCCAGTGTTCTCCCTTAAGCACTGGCGTGATAAACCAATTCTTGTCTGTCGGGTTCTCTAGGCTGACCGACTGAGCGGCCGCGACTCTCGCGCGGGACTTGAAGGACAGCAAGTGGACGCTGTCCGATGGCTGGGACACGCATGATCCGGTCAGCGTCAGCGCCAGCGGTGGATGCCCCTTCGCGGTACCAGCACGCGACACCGGGCAGCCAGCCCCCAGCGAGCAGACAGTTTTTTTCGGGGGGAAATTTGGAGTTCCGGAGGGGGTTTGGGTGGTATTGTTAGAGGGGTAGAAATGTCAACGGCTGGTATCAAAACGGATAAGGGCTAGCTATGGAAGCTGTGCGTAGTTCCAGATATACGCGGGTTAGCGTACACATGGTAGATTTCTTTAGGGGTTCTGGTGGCTAGAAGCGTTCGCGGTAGGTACGGCTCAGGAGGGGTGCCAAAGAACAACCTCTTACTAAAAGGGTCGAATGAGCTAGAGAGCTGGGGGGTGAGGATGGCAGAATCTTGGCTGAACGCAGTGGCACATGATGATCCCTGTGGCGGAAGTTCACATGTAGTACATGTAGTACATACGTACGTTCCTCGCCTTGCACGCACCTCAACCATACAAAGCACACCCTCTCTCCGAATGTCGTCGTCCACGTCCTTGGGGGTGAAGACTACCTCTATCCCTGTCTCGGTCAAGGGCGCCACTATCCCCTCTACAGGGGATGCCGAGAAGTGCGGGCCGAAAGTTTCCTCGTTCCATCTTAAAATACAATGGCGTTGTTTCATAAACATGATGGGAAACAGGCAGGAGAAGTTTAACGCATCGCGAGGTGTGCATTAACTTCTGAGCATGGATGGGCGCGTAATCGGCATGGACGGCAGGTTCAACGCGTGTAGAGATAGATACACAAGGCCACGAGACCCGAGGATCGCGGTTCTACAAAAGAACAAGGAAATACTTCCCCCCTCGCCATGCCCTGATTCATCCAAAATCGAACACCGGAAAGAAACCCTGCTCATCCAGTCTCCCCCGCGTCGCCCTTTTAGGGCGACGCCTAGGACTGGAGAGCGTACTTCGTTGTCGCTCCGCTGAAACCGACAACCAGTAAGTAGCAGTGTCACTCTTACTCCTGATGTAGCGTTCGCTTAGCAATAGACACGCGCCGCACCTGAATCTAGCAGGAAGGTCTCCTCGGTTTTCAAGCCCAAGACGCTGGGTCCGTTGGCTCCCGGAGCACACCGTGCCGAACGGCAATGCGTCCACCGCGAGCGCGACCTCCATGCCCGTGCTCTGGCCGGAGATGGACAGGAGGGGGCTGAGCTCGGAGGTCGCCCCCGCCCGCACGAACAGGGTTTCCGTGAAGGACGGCATGCGCGCCTCGGGGAAGAAATAGACCTAGGTCGGGTGGGCGGGAGCGTTGTTAGTTGTTGTCAGCGTGCGACGGGGACGCGAGAGGTTGCGTGGGGGGGGTCAGTGGAGAGGGAAGCTGGAGAGTTTCTTGCTCGTGACAAGCCAGGCGATGTCACTCCTTGATCCAGTGTTAACACTCGACAGCAAGACGTAGCATGACGGTACGCTCGTCCCCAAGAGAGTCGTCAACGGCCGAAATAAGAGCGTTTCGCGGGTTAGAATATTCCAATACAAGTATATGCTTTGTAAGCGCTGTAGGGCAATACTTGGTGGTTTTTTTCCCGGTCCTTGACCTGTATCGCTGAGTCTGAGGCTTCCAGGTGTTTCCCTACCCAATCACTCCACAGTATATAACTGTGAATATTCACGGCAAGACCTCAACCACACACTCTCTTCCTCCGTTTCTCGCGGTCCTCCAGATCCCCAAGCCAAAACAAATTTCGACACCTTCCACCTTCAACGCATTCCACCATAGGCCGGACAAACACACACCCTTGTGCTTAACATGAATCTCCGAAGATATGATGGATTCTGCTCTCTTACCTCGACCATGATGCTCTCTCGCGGACCCAGGGTTGTCGGAAGGGCCGGTACGTATCGGACGCCCTTCGCTTCCAGCCTTCCCGTCCCGAGATCTTGGGCGTCCACCAGCTCAAATTCGATCGCGCGCTTCGATCGGTTGACCACTTTCACCTGAAGAGTGATGTTTGGCCCAATAGAATAAAGGTAGGTATGTCATCAGGAAGCGAAGGAATACTTGGAAACGATCCCCGACAGAAAAATGGGCATGCATGTCAGCATTCAGCAGGAAGCGAAGGAGTACCAACATTTAGCTCATCCCCGTTTTAACTTTCCCCACTCCTATATCGATGAAATTTCACCCCACAATCGACTTGAAGCGGTTTACGTCTTCAGTGCTGCCGAGATGCCTCTTTATTTTGTTCTTCCCACTAGGGTACTCCACGAAACGTTTCCCCCCGCCTCTTCTTCTCTGCGTCCCACAAGGGAACCCTGGTCAACGCGGCAAAAACCAAAACCACAACCAGATGACTCCCCCGCCTCCACACCTGCTTGGCCACCTGTTGCCCCTCGGGTACCATGCCGAACGTCAAGTGCTTCTGGGCCAGGTTCGCCAGCTCGAGGCGCGCGGGGCACCCCTCTCCCACAACAAGGAGCTTGACCGTGTAGCTCCCGTTCACCAGGAAGGGCACCCCGAAGGCGTACTGCCGGGCGTCCCGTGGGGCGAAGTGCAGCGGCACGTCGATAGACTGGCCGGCTTCCAGGACGGAGGGCTCGCTCGTCACCCAGAAGCAGCGATCCCCCTGGTGGAGGCAGTCCAGGCTGAGCGCCGCAGACGGATCGCGGTTGGTCACCTTGAGGATAACGCACTCCGGGTTGGGGATCGAGCCTGGTGATGGACAGGGTTGCGGTGTGGGTCGGTCAGGGGGGGGAATGTGTTTGTCTGAATAAATATCAACTCATCCCCCTCGACTGCGGTTGTATCTCGAACGGCTAGTCTCCCTTTGATTGTATGTATATTTCCTAAGAAAGTAGAGCGAGTACTGCACAAATACTTCGAAGAGGAAGGGGAATCGCGCTGGTGCGAAACCGTCGCAAACGACAAACATGAACACTTTTTCTCAGGTGGGAACCGATCGTTCTACCTCGAAGGAGGCTTGCTGGTTCTTATCATCGCCACGCTCGCACTCCAAGTCAATGTGCAGGGGGGACATATGTGTTCTTATCACCGTCAGCCCGTGCTACAAGTCAATTCGCCGTTGCAGTCACTTTTCCTGCTGTACTCACCTGCGGGGGTGATGAAGCACGGCCCGAAGTCGTGCTTCTGGAAGGAGAAATGAAGCCCTGGCCGGATCCCTCGGCCGACCACCCGCAGCACGTACTCATACCTAAACGCCAGGATGTATGTGTGTTGTTTTGGGATTTCAGTCCATCACATCAAGGTTTCGTTGTTCTTCTCATCATTCCGTCTTCTTCACGCGACACGATACTCCTGGTTTCAACTGTATGCGTATCTTGATGCTCTTTTTTCTTCCTAATAGTCTTGCGCCTGCTAGCCAGCGGCGGAGACGGCGTCGATGAGCAAGAAGTGAATGCAGAAAACGAATGATACAGGTGTCCGTCCTTCACGAAACAAACATGTTTTTCACACACCTGCCAGCCACCGTGCAGATCAGGTCCTGCCCATCGAGCAGCACCTCCCCTGTTGGCAAAAAGTCAAGGCTAAGCTCCGCACGATCCCCCTTCTTGATACTACCGGCCTATTTTAAACGAATGCAAGAAGCACAGCGGAAACCGAGAAACGGACAGTTTTTACGACATGGAAGAGCACCCTTGACAACAACTGAATCAAAAATAGATGCAGTCGCGGAACTAGAACACCGTGCGTGGCTTGTGCATTGTGTGTGTGATGCCTAGGGTAAGACCGTGTGTTAGCCGCTTGTGCCATATCTATCATCATGTGTGCTTCATGTTCACTGCACCTGTTTTGCGCCAGAAAGGCGAAGCGCAGGACCCGATGGCGTGCGCCATTGCCACAGATAGTCCACGCTGAATTTTCCTGGGTTGACGATAGTGATCTGATTTATGATGAAGAGCGACAAAGACACGGATCACGAAGCAATAAATGCAGCAGCAGGACCAGGTCAGGAGGTCTGGTTTAGCTATTGTCGACGTCGGGCTGTTTCGGCGACAAGGGTGCAGGGGATCGAACAATCGAGAGGTTAGTGGGCAAAATATCTCAAAGGCAGGCCGACCGGTTCAATACCTGGGTTCGAGAACACCACCCCCAGCGAAAACGGAGACGGAAAACACACGGTACCTCCACTGATCCTACATACCCTATGCACAATGCACAATATTTTTCGCCACCCTCCAGCAAGCGCGAAAGGGACCATGGCAAAACGCTTGGGCGTCACTGATTTTGGTTTCAAAGCGAACAGGGGGGGTAAGAGAATCCCACACCTTCCGTGCTGCGCGCTCGTTGATGTGGATGCTGCCGAAATCAACGACGTTGATTTGCGGGAAGGATAGAAGTTCGAGCGCGACAGCATTCTTGCCGGCGCCACCGTCTCCATCTCCCCCTTCTCCTTGGGCCTCCACTGCCCCGCTTCCCCCGGCGGCAGCGTCGGCTTCCGCCCCTCCTTCGTCGGCCCCGCCCTTCCCTTGTATCAGCAGCTTCGCGTGCACCTGGGGTAGGGCACACGATTAGTTCCGGTGCTCACCGGAAGTGGGGTTGTATGTATTCGATCGGAGCAATCATCGAGTCATTCGTGCACCTCGATTGATGGGTCACGAAAGTCCGTCCCGACACGGGGGGAGGGCGTGGGTGCTCGCGTGTATTGTGCGCCTGGGCCGTTCTACGTGGGGCAGCAGCGGCGTACGCAAGGTTGCCGTGCGTGAAGCGGTGACAGGACGGTTTCGCGGACCCCCCATCAAGCGACTTCTAGAACGAGGCGGTATCACGATGTCTACCCCCCCCATTGCCCGGATTGGTAGGGATGAGAGGATCTACGGTTGCGCATTGCGGCCATGCACGATGACGAGGAGTATCCACCCGTCCCACACCTCTCCCAAAGAACCCACCCCCTCGATATATTGGATAGACAAAATATTTTGTAGCCACCTGTGGCAGGGTAGGAAGAAACTATTGGCCATCGGTGGTCGGCCCAATAGTGCTCCGACCTCTCCGGGACGCATGGTCAACGGTCTAAAACCTAAGCCACGCAAAACAACAGTACCCGCTCCCCACCCTCTACCCGAACTTGTCACCTTGAAACCTTCCCCCTTGACGTTGATGCTGAGCTTGGTCTGCTTCTTGCGAACGCCGAAGATCAAGTTGAAGTTGTGGAACTTCTCCTCCCGGGGGCAGAACGTCACCTCTATCGGCACCCGGCCGTTGGGAGGGAGGAGGGCGGACGTCGGGCTTACTTCCAGGACCGCTCGTCTGCGGGGGTCGTCGTCCACCTGATGGCGGGGGGTACCGTAGTGCAAAATGGGGGCGTGGGGAAGGGGATAGTGTTGCACAGTGGGAAACAGGACTCCGCCCATCAAGTTTCCACCGTATCGTGATGGTAAGCCGTTAGGTCGTGGAATATGGATAGAAATGCGTCCACGAGATGGTGTGATGCAGAACGCCGGCCAGCTCTATCATTGCTACACATGCGGCACCTGAGCCATGCCGAGGGAGTTCTTGTCGAACACGAAGCTGTGCGGCATGGCCTCGCGGTTGACGATGTGGAACGTCTCCTTCAGGGCCGCGCCGAGCATAAGGGCACCGTAGTCCAGCTTGGTCCGGTCGACGGCAATGTCGGGCTCCACGACGCCTCCCGCAAACAGGAACAGCTCACTCACGCCGTGCTCCGGGATTCTAAAACGGTAGAACGCCTACGATGGTGGTGGTGGTTTTAATGGTTAGTGAGATTGATACGAACGGCGTGTGTGGTACATGGGGAAGCAGGCGTGGAGCAGGTAGCGAGGGCGAAATGTTGTGTGAATTGCCAGGCTAGAAGAAGCTTGAACTCAAAGCAAGGATCAAAGGCTCTGAAACCTTAGCAAAGTCTGCCACGGTGGTTTTGGACGCCGTTGTGTGAGATAGCGAAAATTACATGGAGTCCCTCCCGTGAAAAATATCAGTTGTTTATCAAGCAGTCAATAATTTTTTACTGAATTATCTCTACGGTGTCTTGCCCTGCCTTACGATAAATCTAACTCACGAGGAACGGCCAAGTCCGTCTCGACGAAGAAATCCATACATTGAATCTGCCTTCGAAACAGCACAATCTGAACCGCTGTTCGCGAGAACCAATCACAGTCAACCTTGCGACGGTATGTTTCAAAAGGAGTCTCAAGGGTACTTGCATCCATTTTGCAGCCTCTGGGAGTATTCATATTTCACGTGTTCTCCTTCTCCTCAGCACACAGTAAAGCTTGTTCCGTGAATCCTATAATTCAAGTGGAGAGGAGCTCCTCGGCTAACTTCCCCTCGAGAGTTGGCCTAATGCATGCCCACTGTTCAGCACAAGCGTACATCTAAAAAAAGCTAGAGAACACAGTTTGCGCCAGGGCAACTACTTCGCTCTCTTGTTTTAAGCTGAGGCACACCTCGGCGACCTCCATGTCGTCCGGAGTGTACTCGAAGACCATCTCTCCCCTCTTTCCCGCGAGAATCATGCCTCGCTGGGTGACGCAACGCCAAGACGGGTGCGGGTTCCCCTGGCTCTCCCAGCTGAAGTCGTACCCTACGTTGGTCGGGTTCACAACGTAGAACCTGGGCGAACAAACGCACCAAGAGAAGCGGTTTCGTGGTGCCCAATACCAACCACGAAGAAAAGCTCGGTAAAAAGCGTGGAAACCATCCGAAGACACTCTCCAAAGTGCCGATACCGCCAAGGTAAATGGGTTTGTATTTTTGTCTTGCTGTTCGCACTACGCAATGGTCAGGTCAGATTTGCTTTTACGAGATTCTTGAATCCAAACGCCCGACTCTTTGGCAAGAGTTGCACGTCCCACGGCTTGTGTGCTGTCGGACTCGTTTCGAACAGACCTGTTCTTCTTACGGAAACCCTGATCCACATCGAACTGTCCGAAAAGAACGCAAGAGAGAGCATGGAAGCACACCTCTTCGTGTTGCGCAAGTGTGTCCCCCGGCTTGTGACCTCAAGCACCCTCACAGAAGCGGCTTCGATTGCCAAACCCTGTGATGCCATGAAAATGCCAAAAAAGGTATTGGGGTGAGCGATCGCCGCGTTGACATGTGTACAGCCTGTGTGATCTGTGATCCATTATCGTTGTCAAAACTAGGCGGTACGCGTCGGATTCCCCATGAAAAATGAGACAAGAAAGAGAGACGACGTTTTGGAAGTTGTCGGGAAGACTCACACCATGGTGGCAGAGCTTACCGCAAGAAACCCTACCCGGCGCGACCACCAATCAAAGTGTCGTGTGTCGCACAGAACACGTCACATGCAAACCGAATTACCGCACCGCACCCGCATCCAGGCACCTGCTTGTTTCCCCGCCCATGGCCCCCAAGCAGCGAATGTTATGCCGCTCACCTGCTGCCCGAGGTCGTTTGCCAGCAGGTGGCTCTGCCGCCTCTGGAGGTAGTCCGGTGACTCCTGGAGCGCAAAGTGGCACACAGGTCTCAGAGACCTGCCGCGAAGCGTCAGGCTCAGGGGGGGCTGGTTCGTCGGGAGTGTCGGCATCCTGGCTGAGAGCGCGTACAAAAAGTCGTCCACCTGTATGTGAAAAACAAAGACAGTGGAAGAGGGTCTTCATCTTGAGGAATGATTCCGTTCTGGCGCCAGCGTAGCAAACTATCCCCTACAGCGCAAACCAAGATGCAGCTCCGGGGGCATGGTCGCTCTCAAAACAAGATGAACATCTCAATCGCTGGTCCAAGATTCTCAGGATGGCGGCGTATCTTTTCTGTAGGAAAGGTTAAGGAGCATGAGCACACACCTCTTGTGGAGCGAAGCGAATAGCAAAAGACTGCTCCCCTCCCGCCTCGATGTCCCCTGAGTACGGCTCCACGGAAAACGGACACGGGGTGATGAACTTCGCCCCTCCCTCGGCACCAGCATCTAGGTCCATCAACGCCAACGACCTGCTTGTTAGCAGTTGGCTCCCCGGCCGACCGGCAGAGCCGTCCCTCGCAAAGCTGCGCCGGTTCGCCAGCGACCACTCGTACGGCAGCCGCGTGGTCCCCGGGTTCCTGACGGTGAAGGCGTGCATCCGGCACTGGAACATGGCCGTGTTGCTGAAGGCCACGACCGAGCTCCCTTCCGGCACGCCGTCCACGACCTCGAACCGCGCGCGGTCGGCCACGCCGGAGCACCGCAGGGGTCTCTTCGACGGGAGCGTGCCCTCCACGGGCTTGAACCTCGGCTCCGGCTGCACCGCGTACACCATCTGCACGCCCCCGTCTGACAGGGGGCCCCGCCTCAGCGTCGGCGCCGCCGGGATCTCCGGGGGCGGCGGCTCTTTCCCTTTCTTAGCCCCCTTCTTGGGCTTCTCGGGCGCGGTCGGCTTCGACGCCGCAGCCTCCTCCTGAAGCAGGACCGCCATGTCCTCCTCCGTGGCCTCTCGCAGCTGTATCTTGGAGTCGTCCCACTCTAGGTCCACGCGCTGGGACGTGCGGCGCTCGTGAAGCTCCTGCTGCTGCTGCTGCTGCTGCCGGCCTTGCGAAGCAGCAGGGTCGTCTCCGCCCCCGTCGGCGGCCTCGGGCTCCGGGTAACTGATCTTCTGCGTGACGAACTCCACCGGCTCGTTGTCGTACTTGACCGGCTTCAAGGGGTTAAACGTGGCCCGTATCTCACGGCGGCTGCCCACCGGGAGATGCCCAACGCTCGGAGAAAACTTGAAGTGCTTGTGGTCGGCAAACAAGAAACGGCACGGGAAACTTCCCTGGTTACGCACGCAGAAGGTTATCTCCTTGCCCCCAACGGCTTCGTCCGCTCCGGCGTCCGCGGCGGCCGCAGCGAGGACGCCTGCCCCATCACCACCGCTACCTCTCGCCACCTTTGCGGTCTTGGTGGTTGGAGGAGCTGCCGCGTCTTCCGCGTCGGGTGGTGGAGGGTCCAGGATGTCGACTTGGTCGAACGTGATCTCGTCCGCGACCGACGCCCCCGGGAGCTCGTCGAAAACGACGTCGTGGCTGAGGCACGTGCCGGACAGCTTGAACACGGCCGCATCGAAAGGGTTGTGGAGGACGGTCATCTTGAGGTCCTGGCCCAGGGGCTCGGGCTCGCCTTCCTTGGGCTTACACCGGGGCTGGAAAACCACGTCCATCGCCTTCCTTTCTTTAGGTTGCAGGGTCACGGAGCCTCCCGCGGCCGCGAACAGGAAGTCTCCCTTCCGCTGACGGTTTTGCTTCTTAATCACCGACTCCGCCGCGGGGGTACCGCCGCCTTCCCGCGTGTCAGGGAGTTCCAGCTCGAAGAGGCAGGACACGGGCAAGATGCCGTCGTTCCGGAGGACCAAAGGGAGGCGGCGAGACTTCCTCGCGCAGACCTCTCCGAAGTCCATGATCACCGCGCCCGATTGGTCTCTGTCCAGGGGACTCTCCAGGGTCACCGTTGGCATGGTGCCCTTGCCGGACAACAGGAAGCCTAGCTTTCCCGTAGAAGCGTCGTCGTTGTCCGACACAACGGCCTCGAAGTGGCAGCGGTAAGACCGCATCTCCGTCGGTCGAAAGTAGGCCGACACGTAGCGGTGCTCATGCGGCGGAATGTCCCACGTTTCGGGGTGGACGGCGAAGGCGGTCACGTCCGCCTCCCCCGGAGCTGGTTCTTCCTCTGCCGCCTTCCCCCCTTTTCCTTTCTTGGCCTTGGGGTCCATGGGCGCCGGATCGCTGTCGTTCGGACCGGCCGCCGGGGAGATGGCAAACTTGACAGTGCAGGGAATCTTGTTGCTGTTGCTGATCTTGAACCGCTCGCAGATGCCGACCGGAACTTGGCTAGACACCACGCTCCCAAAGGTAAACATGAGCTGCTCTATCGCGAAGCAGACCCTTCCTCCCGCCCTTCCGCCAGCGGCACCACTCCCTCCGCCCGCCCCGTCTCCGCCGCCACCTCCGCCCCGGCCTTTACCCCCGGCTGTCGCCGCCGCTGCGGCCGCCCAATCATCATCCATGACGTCGGCAAGGGACGGGATCACCGACTGCTCCTCGAAGATGTCCCGCCAGTCCGAGGTAACGATCCCCGGCACGCACGACTCGGCGAGGAGGTCGTACGACGCGGCCAGGGCGCACGCCCCGTCGGAAGGGTCCGATCCCGAGACCTTCAGGCACAGGCTCTCGCGGTGGGCGTTTGCGTTCTCCGGGCTATACCGCACCGTGACGCTTACGCTTTGGCCCGGCTGCACCAGCCCCCCGGAGGGGGCGACGTAGAATCTCCCGAGCGAGATGGGGTCGTCCGGAACCTCGAGAGCCGGCTTAACGACCCCCTTCGATCCCTTCCGACCCGCTGGGGCGGCCGTGGCCCCTTTTCCTTTACCCTTTCCGCCGCCCTTTTCGGGGACGGCGGCGGCGGCCGCCGTTTCGCTCTCCTTCAGAGCTTGCTCCTCCGGCGGTAGCAGTCCGTTGGGGGTTGCCTCCCGGATCGCGGCTTCGTGCGGCGGCGACGGATGCCCCTTCCCTTGCACCGCAAAGACGAACTCGAACTCGCCCTCGTTCTTGAGTTCGAAGGTCTTGGTCATGCTGTCCGCGTTGAAGGCCACCGGGCCGAAGTTGATGCCCCGGCGGGGCTGGAGCCGGAAGCGGCTCCAGGTGGAGATGGCGGAGGCGACCACCGAGAACTCCTCCACGGCCTCCCCTGTGTGGGGCTCCGTGATGACGCAGCGGATGTCCCGGTTGTCCTTGAGGTGAGTCTCCTCCGTGCTACAGAACGTCACGCACACTTCCACCGCCTGCCCTGGCTCGACAAGCCCCTGGGAGGGTTCCACCTTGAAGAGAGCCGCCGCGATGCCTCGCCTCATCCGGAAAGCGAAAGCAATTTTGTACTTCCCCCGGTTCCGGAGCGTGAAACGCTCGTTCGCGGAGTCTCCGACCCGTTGCCTCCCAAAGTCTAGCGACCCATCGTTCTTTCGAGGCGGTCGCTGCTCAACCGCCGCCGGCGCCGGTGCAGCTTCCCCCGTGAAAGTGTCATCGTTGCTACCCTTGCGGCCGCCCTTCTCCGCTCTTCCAGTCGTTGCTTTCTCGGTCGCCGCTGCCGCCGCCGCCGCCGCGTCCGCCGCCTCTTGCTCGGCGTGGGCCGCCTCGTCGGGAGTTTCGAAGGCGACCGCCCGGATGCGATATGCCTCGGCTACGACCTTCACCTCCTGCCGGACCACTATTCCCCCGACTCCTCCTTGCCGTCCTTCCTCCGCCGCCCCGAAGCCGACCTCATCGTCGGTGTACTCGATCGCGACGGTGGGCTCGAACACCCCTTCCTTCCCCGCCGAGAACATCACGGTCACCCTGGCCGTGCCCCCCACCTCCACTACCCCCTCCGTGGCGCTGCCGGGCATTACCCGGAAGTCGTCCGGGTTTTCCAGGAACACCGGGTGGGAGGCGTCCACTCTCCACCGGCACGGCACCTGGCACGCGTTCCGGACGACAAAGTCGCGGGACTCCACACGTCCCAGCAACATCCGATCGAAGTCGACCACGGCGCCCCTCTCCTTGGCCTGGCGAACGCGCTCCTCCGCTTCCGACAAGGCGGCCTCCAGCTCTGCCCGCGCTGCCGCCGGGGCATCCTCTGGTAAGTCCTGTTCGCGCCGACCATTTTTTGAATAATTGGTCAGCTCGATGGTGGATCTTTCAAGCCGTACTGGCTTTAGTTGTCGTCTGATTAGTTTACGGTATGTCTTAATACAACTATCTCTTGCGAGGACGTGCTCGTCGAACGCTCCGCCTCACGACTGCCCAGACTTCTCAAACGTCGTTTGTATCGTCGACAAAACAATTATCCAGAACTTGGTACAGTTTAGCAACACAACTTATAACTGTCTGAACGATACACAGTACACATTGTGCACTGGATGGCTAATACTGAAGTTTCTGCCCTCTCACCTCCAGACTGCCCAGCTCCTCCAGGGCCGCTTGCGCCGCCGGCAAAAGCTTATTCCAGGGCCCCTCCAGGACCATCGAGGGAGCCGCACCAGAGCACGACACAGGGAACAGCACAGGCCGAGGGTTGTCCGTGAGGCATGCGATGAGCGTGTCCTTGTACTCCTTCACCTCGGTGGGGAAAGCCCACACCCGTACCTCAGTCGTCTCGCCGATAGCCAGCTCCAGGGTCTCGGGTTCCACGTAGAACGTTCTGCGCTTGGACGACCCGTGTAGACCATGCCGATCACCGTGGTCCGAGTCTCTTCGGTCGGCTGCGGCGGTCGCCGGGGCAGCCAGAGCCCCGCCTTTACCACCCCCGGCGGCCTGTTGTGGGGTTGCGGTGGTCGTGGCCGCGGCGGCGGCAGTCTCGTCCGCCAAAACGGAAGACTTGTCCTTGCGATGTAGTAGAAGATTTTTCCACAATACAAGAGAGTGAAGGGGGTTAGTTGACTACCGCGGTTGGTCTTTCACCGGAGAACGCGTACTCAAGCCGTACGATAGCGTAGGGTTGCGTCCTGCTATGCATCATGTTCAAGTGGGTGGTTGGTTGTAGGAGGTCGAAAGGAACACCTTGATCAACTACAGGCATCCGTTACATCCAATCCTGTCCCGGAACACCAAAATAATTTATAATATTTACTGCATTGTTGAGTTCTTCGGCGGGCAACCCGTTTACCTGCGGCTGTTTCTCGAAAGCCAGAGATACCTTGACCGGAAACTTTCCGTCATTTGATAGCCGGAACGTCTCGGCGTTAGTCTTGACGAGGGTGGCATGGGCCTCCTCCTTGGCGCGGGCCTTTGCCAGCAGTTTCTCTCCTCCTCCAGCCCCCCCCGCCGCCACGGCCGCCTTCTCCTCCGATGTCAACTTCGGCGGTACTCTTCGTTCGTTACGTTGATAGGTGTTGTCCAGACCGGAGGGTCAAGTACGCAAGGGGGAGTTACGGCCAATGACTGGGGTCAGGGAGGGGGGGAGGCGGGGGGGGTGACGTATGTTCCAAGACGCTGGAGTACAAGCCGAAAAGGGTGAAGATAAGACCAACAGGGTGAAGATATGATCAATAGAACGCAATTCAGATGTCTTCCTCGTTCTCTTCTCTCCGTTCGATGATTGCCGAATCGGTAGCCTCATCCTGCCAACTAACCTTCAGCCTTACCTGTTTTCCGCCCTTTTCCAGGTCAGCAGCGGGCCGAACTCGTACTGCCCCCTCGAGATGACGAAGCGCTTGCTGACCGGCCGCACGGCGCCCCCCGCCCGGTGCTTGACCCTCCTCATGAACACGTTTCTGGGGTCGGAGTTTATGGATGGGAAGGCGCACGTGCCAGAGACATGAAGGGCGTATCGCCGCCCCGTCCCGACGGCCTCAAAGGTCAGGGGGACGTCAAACACTCCAGCACTCGAGCTGGAGAACTTGACCACGAAGCTGACGGATTCTCCGGCGCGAATCTATTTTTGTTTTGTATTGCCAGGGAACGCACAAGGCAAAATGAAAGAGAAATGTGTCAACGGAGTAATCAAAGACAACGGTTACGCCAGGAGGATTGTGTCAGAATCCTTTGTTGCTGGAGTTTGGTGATTCTCATTTCTGATGAGAGAGTCGTAGTGTTCAGCAAGAAGGAAGCACGAGATGAAGTTTATCTCACACGTGTGTTTCTCGCCGAGGACCTTCGCCACCTTTAGCGGGAGCACGGCCCGAAAGAAGGAAGGGTAATGTTGCTAAGAAGGTCGTACATAGGGGGTGGTTTGCGAAACGACGGGACAGGGCCAGCTGACGGTATTGATTGGCTGCATGAATTGTTGCACACCACTAATGTGCTACAACGCATGCTCGATTTTGGAGGGCCAGAAGTACTCGCACCGGATACCCACATGCGTCCAACGACATGCCCTCCTCAAGCCGATCGCAAGCTCGGAGCAAGCAGGAAAGGGCACCCCTACTCTTTTGGCGGTGACAATCCATCTTTCTCTTCTCTTCCCTGCCCTCCACACTACGCCGTCAAATATTAGTATTCATAACGAGAGTGAACTTACCACCCATCTGTAGGGATTATCTCCAAGAGCTCCAGACGCAGCTCCAATGCCTTGTTCACCCTTTTCCTTTGCCGAAGCAGCCGAGTGCTTGGTTTTAGGCTTAATCTCATTCCTCGCCTTGGTCGCATTGTGCGATCGCGGGCGCGACGAAGGCTGAGCCGCCTCCTCCGGGTGGAAGGGAAGGATTTCCAGCGTCTGTAACGGTTGCCGCTGCGCGCGTGGCACCGGCCTCCGCAACAGCTGCCGCACCTTGTCGGGCGGGATGGCGACAACCTTGGGGTCCGGCGCCGGTACCGCCGGCTCTGGCAGCAGCTCCCGTGCGGACTGCGAGTCCGTCTCGGCCTCGGAGTCTCCCGTCACCTCGAGGTCGATCACCCGCAACGCCGAGGCGAGAGTTGCAGCAGGCTCCCCGCCGCTGGCGATCGAGTCCGTCGCTGACGACGACAAGCCTCTCCCAAGGGCGGCGCCGCCGCCGTCGCCGTCGCCTTGTCCGGCGGCCGACTCGGATGCCAGCGAGCCTCCGGCGATAGAGTCATCGGCGATAGAGCCGCCGTCCACGCTCCCAACACCGACGGCGGCCGCCTCTTGTTCTCCGTAGCCGCTGTCCCCGCCGCGGCCGGGTGAGCATGGGCGAGACACGGCGTTGGTGCCGCCGAGGGGAGAAGAGCTCGCGGCAAAGCGTTCGAAAACCGGCAGAACGAAGGCCGCTAGGTTCTGGGTGAACTCTACGTACGGAGATGCAGTGGTGGGTGTTGCCGGTGTCTCGGCGGCTTCGTCCCGTCCAGGCCCCAACCTATTTTGAAGCAAAACAAGATGGAGAGTGAGTAATCGCCCAGACATTGGCTAGCTTGGAGAAAAGGTACGTGCAGTGATCATTGCTTTGAACGGAAGAGAGGCTGCTTTCGTGTCACGGTGGCCTCCAGGCACGGGATTTTGGCTGAGTACAGTGAATGTGACGCGCGCGGAAGAGCACACTGTCCAAGGGAGGAAAAAAACTTTCACGCCAGTTTTCCATCAAAATCTTCGCTGTACCCCTTCAATGAACGAACGTTCTTAGGCAGAGCACCACGAGGACGGCATATTCCGTTGTTAACCCACCCGCTCGACCCTCCGTCGGCAGCCTTGGACCCGCCACCGCTGCCTTTCTCCTTCGACGGCCCCGACGGCATCGCCGATGTTTCTGCTGGTACCGTTGCCGTAGCTGAGGTTGTCACCACCGCCGCCGCCGCCCGCGTGAGAAGGAGGTTAACGCGGTCCGCGGTTCTCCTGGCGCGGTTGAACTCGTCGCGTCGATGCCGTTCGTCCAAGCGAAAGTGCTCGTCACGCTGCTTGTCGTCTAGTGCCCATAGCTCCGCCTCCGACAACTCCTACGGCGCGCGAGCGTGGAAACGGGAGCGTCCGCCCGAGCATGGGTCGGTTCATAATTGGTTATAAACCTGTATTGGAATAATGAACGACTGATTTTGTTTTGTATTTGGCGTTTTATTGGAGCCGTGGTAGATGTATTTGGTAGAATCGTTGGTGGCGGTGCAATCTGTTTCTGGTGTCGGTGGTTGTCGATGGTCGAGTAAAACGGAGTGGGATGATCTTGCGGGAAACAAGACTTGCTGTCAGTGCGTGCCCGCGATAGAGGTGTATTCATGTTCCGAGTACCAGCGTTACCACGTACAATAAACAGGTGCGGTGATAGCGGAGAACATTGCACCTCTCCTCCCTCCGAAAATTCTCTTCCGGCCGGGAAAGCGAATCAAGAAGAGGCAAACCCGTGTGCCCTACCTTCCAGACAGGCAGCGGAACGCAATCGCCATTTGCATCCCATTCCGGCTCCTCGACGTCCATCGGCCGCGGCATCGGCACACCTCTGGTGATATCAGCCGCCCCCGCCGCTCCTTCTCCTCCGGCCTCCTCGGCCTTACCGCCACCGCCGACGAGAAGCACGTTGTCCCCTTCTCCGACAGTCACAGCTTCGTCGCCGTCCTTGTCTTCGCCGTCGTCTCCCATTATGTCCAGCTCGCCGCTACTGGTGCTGTGCCGAGGGTTGTCTAGATCGACACCGTCGTCGGAGTAGGAGGACGGGTCCACGAACCCAAGGTCTTCGGGGGTGAGTTGTTCTTCGAACTCGTCTCCCCACAAGTCCAGGGTCTCGCCGGTCTCCCGCTTTAGACGGTCCAGGCGCGCAACGTAGCTGATGGGGAAATTGTGTGATAAAAAATGGGTTTATGGTAGGGGAGGGAGGGTCGGGGTGAAGTGGATGTGCGGAGAAGGCTTGGTGGTCGCGGAACTCATGTCGTAGAAGAACAGCAGCATGATAACATCGAGCTGGACTCTGGCTGTGTGCTGCTGACGCAGCGACAAAGTCGAATAGGCCACAAAATCTCCATCCCACCGAGAATCAGCTTGTATCATCGCTTCTAAGAAACAATCTTCCCGTAAGGGATTTGATTCTACAAGTTCACGCATGCAACTCAGCCCGAAAAAATAACCTCGTGCCGAAGCGCGCACCCGTCTTCCTCATCCTTGAAGCGGAGCACCAGCAACCGCGCGGTGGGCATGGCGCTGGACGCCGCCCTCGCAACCACGTCGACAGCGGCGGCAGCAACGGCACCCCTCCTTGCGCCCCTCTGGCTACCCCCTTTCTTGGACATCCCAGCAGTTGCCATGGACTTGGCGGCTAAGCGGGAGTCAAGTCCGTCCAGGACAGCACCCCGGTCACAGTCCGATTGTGCCAAGCGCCACTGAAGCACCTCCACCAAGAGCTCGGCCGACAAGCCTTGCGGCTCCAGGAGGGCGGTAAGCGCTAGGACTGCCTCCGTGGGGCCGGCCTCGTTTGCCGCGGCTGCGGCGGCCGCGGCCGCCGCCGCTGCCTGCGCGTGCATAGCAAGGACTAGAGGGTCTGAGAAGCACGCGGTCCCGTATTACCCAACGCGGTCCCGTATTACCCGATGGCAAAATGGCAACATTCAACAAAAACAAGCGTGCGATAAGCTCGTTTCCCGATTTACGGCCCGAGCGGCTGAACGTGGAACACCAGGGTAGGATGATGCAATATGCAAATATAGCGGTTGCCCTGGTTTAAGTGAGATTTTGAAGGTGACAGAGTCGGATGGGAGTGGATTAAAGGCGACGAAAACCCATGGGGTTTGGGGGCAGTTGTGAAGCACAGTGAGGATGAGCAGGCACGTGGCGTTCCAGGCAGTACTGACGATGAATACCCAACGCTTTCACTACATCGTGTACTTTTCTCGTACAGAACGCAAGGGCATTGGAGCGTGCCATCAACGAGACAATACCCATCAGGGCGGGTGACGTACCTTCTTGTTTCCCCTCGGGACGGGGATAGGTTCCGCAGTCTCGGCTGCTACCCTCTCCCTCGCAGCTTCAACGTCTCGGACCCAGCGAGCCTGCCAATAGGAAGAGAGAGCGTTCATAAGTGCGCACACACGGACGATCGGTGTTTCCATTTCTAGGCTCGAGAAACAGGATCCCCAGTGCGTCCTGACCCACCAGCGAGCGCGCCAAGCAACTTGAAGCACTTACTCTGCAGTTAACACACTGCACAGCTTCAGCCAGGACACCCGACACTACTGACAAATATTTCCAAGTTGGAGTTCGTGTTCATTTTTCGGGGAAGGTGTGCCGTACGGTCACTTGAGCACAAACCAGTTAGGTGCGTTTTGTTGCGGGAGCGCGCGTCTAAGTTAAAGCTCTTGGCGGACGTTTTGTGTCCTCCTCGCGTGTCCAGCGGTCTCGACTCGCTTTCCCATCGCACCCAAAACACAATGCACCTCTTCCTTTTTTGTGAACCAGTGGATGGCCTCGCGGACCCTTGCGCCGAGCTTGTTTCTCAGTCGCAGGGCCCCCCTCACGGCCCCATCTACGGTGAGCGCCGGCAGGGAGTACTTCGCCCCGAGCGCTCGCGCGAGGGTAGACTTCCCCGAGAGGGGGGGTCCCGTCACCACGACGTCGTGCGCCCTGCCCTCCTCGCGGTCGGTCGGGACCCTCTCCCATTCGGGGACGCCGCCGCTACCGATGTCGTGGTTGCGCTCCAGCACCTCCGCCGCGGTCTCCAGCCACGGCTCGTCACCGTAGGCCGCCGCCGCGGCGGCCACCGCTTCACCGTCGTCGATGCCGACACCCCTGCTGCCGCCGCCGCCGCCGCCGCCGCCGTCGTTCTCGGCGTCGTTGGTCTCCTCGCCGTTTTCGTTGTCGTCGTCGTCGTCGTCGTCCTCGCTGAGATCGGCGGCGTCTTCGGCCGGTCCTCCCCCGGCGCCGCCCTCGTTGTTGTTGGCGCCGTCGTCTCCGGCTTCAGCCGCGGCGGCGGCGGCCTCTCGAGCGCGGCGGCGGGCCTCCTTGGCCTTCCGGCGCTCCGCACGCTTGGCCGCGTCGTCCTGGGCGCGGGCGACGTCGATCAGGGACTGGTGGAGCCCTTGGCCAGGAAGGCGGGGGGGGAGACGGAGGACTTCGTCCGCGGCGAAGCAGGTGGCCCTGGAGAGGATCTCCTCCTCTACCAGGTGCGCCTGAGACGCAAGAGCGAGAGGGTGTGGCGTGACTGGGAGTGGGGGCGTGTGTGGTACAACTGTCCTCTTTGTGCTAGGGTGCGCGAGAGACGAATGTGTACAACAATAAATTGTCGTCCGAAGGAATTTCAGAGAGAAGGGTGCGAGTTTTTTCGTCAAAGGCGCCAAAGGCATCCTTTCGCAAAGGGTGGTGTGTTGCTGAAGTAATTACGCCTACAGGCTGGGCAGTATCACACTATGCCTGCTTTCTAGCAAGAATCGTATTCGGGTTAGTCAGGTACACCTGCTAATCAGCGAAAAACTCTGAGAGTTCGCATGCATGCAATACGACAGACCTATGTACGGCGTGTGAAAGAGGGTTACCTCCTCGCCTCTCCTGTTACACTGAGGACGTCCAATTATCGATGAAGATGTCGATGTCATTTTCAACGAGTAGCCGCGAAGAGTCGCGGCAATGCAGGGGGCCGTGGCGCGAAGTACCGATAGAGACTATCACCCCAACAGCTAGATCGCCTATCGGTGGTGTTCTCGCGTCGAGGGAAGTCCCACCTTGTCGAAATCCAGCGAGAATATCTCCACGTCCCAGGCGCTATCGTTGAACACCGTCACCTCCCGGCTGTCCCCCTGCGGGGCGTGAGGCAACACCGGCCCCATGTCCAGCATAGGAGGGTCAAACCTCACGCGCGGCTGAGCCCCCTGCAGGTGGAAGCGATGATCAGGTTGGAGTTAGTGCGGTCGGGTGGGAGAGGATATCAACCTAGTTCTGTTTCCGGCGTGGAGGAGGTGGCCGCTCTCATGTTCACCCTTCAAGGAAAGAGAACGACAGAGCAACACTAGATCGGCAACACTGACGAACCCGGGAAGAAATTCAGGCTACAAAACAATAAAGATTGACCACAAACACAGGTGGTCAGTCAAGAACCTTTGAGTGGTGACGCGTATTATCGTGATGGGACAAACTTGATGACCGAGATGGTTCATAAAGAAATGCCCGTTGAACTCTCCCTGTTGTCCGATGCCGCATATTGTAAACCATTCGACGTACTATGTGATATTCTTTCGGTTTCTAGCCCACAACGAGAACAAGCACTGGCCACTATATGGTCGCTCACCCGCCCCTGCAGCACCACCGAGGCGTTTTTGGTCGTGCTCGCGACCCTGACCGCCATTTTAAGGGAGTAGACGCGATCGTCAGTGGGGACGAACTCCACCTGAACAAATAGAGACGCGTGCGAAGGTGTGTCTGTGCAAATACGGGGGTTCATATATGCTAGTACAAGAGCCACTACTGATGCTACAACAATTCCTCCCGCTTTACCCCGCTGTTCGCGCAAACGATAACTCGTGGTGTGTGTTCTCTCTCTCATAAGCCTGCCAGCAGCTTACTTGCTTGAAAATCCAACCTAAAAATCCGAAAATATAGTTTGGACTTGACACCCGATACTGCCAGTGGTTGTGCTTCACAGACTACTCAAGCACATGGACTGTTTTAGTCATCCGAACGTAACCTCGTCGATGAATAGACACTGACGTACATCAGTACCTCCCTTGCGTTCATATTAACGATAACATATGGACAAGAGCAAGCGGTTTCGTTGATTGTTATTGTTGCTATGGTCGTCCTTGGTGATGCCCGTTTTGGTCTGTACAAGTTCTTGGTGAACTACATACACCATCGAACCTGGACGTTAACCCGCTGGTCTTTGTGCAGAGAGCCGCCTCTGGGCGTCAGCTTGAACTTCGCTTCATCCCGCGGGTCTCCGAATAGCCGCTTGAAGTCCCACTCTGCTACGACCGGTGATGTGTTGTGAACCTGTGAGGTCGATTGTTTCGTTATCCCCGCACCAGTATCACGGTCGAATTAGGTCCCCAATCCAGTAGAAGCCTACACAACAGAAGACGCAAAGTACACCCACTGCTGTTGTCCCGAGTGATAACAGTTGTTCTACTTGAAAGTGACATCAACATGTTTTTCTAGCAAGGTGCATCGACTAGGGATCAACACACTGGTAGGTAACGGCGACAACAGCACCGTCTAAATCAGCATTATCAGCCATATGAGGGAGCATTGGCCAAACCTGGATATACTTGGTCTTGCTCTGGCCAACGAGAACGCTGTCAAAGTCGAGCTCCTCGTGGGACAGCTCCACCTCGGGGGAAGTTACGTTAGCCCTAAGAACTACCACCGTCTGGGGGCCGTTCTTGAGCTTGATAGGCAACTCCAGGGATCGAATTCCGTGAGGAAATCCCTTTCTGCTCGCCATTTCGTATATAGGGACGCGAAGTTATTGGACGAGAAGCAAGTGGCGACACTGAATGTGAGTCGCGTCGTTAGGCACGTGAGTGAAACAAGTGTCTTGGTACGGCGGGGCGCGGTAGCCGCCGCGGTTTCGTGTGGCGAGGCAAGGCAGTTGACTTATGCTTGAAGCGACTGGTACATGATAGCAGCGTACAAAGACAACGACGACCGGCAACAACAACAGCAACAACAGAGCAGAATTACTACAACGATGAAGAGCAGAACTACCATCATATGGTACCTGATTACCAACCTGGTTTTGACCCAATAACATATATAGTAACAATATTACGCCAATCAACAAATTAAAAAAAAAAGAAATATAATGCAAACAAGGAACTAACGAAACGTGGAATGCCGCAAGGCGACCCGCAGTGGCTTGAAACGGAAGCAGAGAGCTCGGTTATCTAAAGACCTATCTATTGATGTTAGCGTGAGGCGAAACAATTGAACAACTTTATAGACGGCCGGAGTAGAACGTTTTCCGCGTTTCACATACAAAATCACAAACGTAAATGTGCTAGACGATCAAGAGCCGGTTCAAAACCAACCAATTTCATGTTCCTGGAGCAATCGAAAGGCATGCGAAAACGTCAAAGCAACCCACGAACAATACTCACCTGGCTTGAAACGACGCCGAGAACGCGGCGCTGGCGCCCTCTGGTAGCCTGACAACCTTCTCCGGCTCGATGGAGTACCCGGACCCGGCGATGGAGTTCTTGTTGAACGACCACGACACGGGTCCGAGCTTGCCGGTGTTGGCCACCCGGAACGCCTTGGTCTTAGTGAAACCCACCACGACGTTGCCGAAGTCGGCCACGTGACGGGCGACCGTGTAGGAACCGGGGGAGACCTTCGAACCGACAGACTGGCCGCCCCCACCGCCGGCAACAACACCGCCACCGCCGAGGCCGCCGCTGCCGCTAGGAGCCCTGGATTTGACGGATGGGCTCCCGGATTTCTGAGCGCTGCGTGCTCCACCGCCGGCTCTGTTCACGCGCCGGCTGCTTGCAGACGTTCCGCTCGGCCGCCCCTCAGCGACAGAGTTGCCGCCGCTGGGGTTGCTCCGGGAAGCCCCAGCCGCGGCGTTGTTCCCTCTCTTGCTTCCCGCGCTCCCGCCTCTTGCTCCGCTGTTGGGAGTGTTATGAGAGGCTGTCGTCTTCTCTGCGGAGCTATTGGCCTCGTTGATCGCGTCTGCCATCGCCGAATACTCTTCCATCTCTGCTTCCGCCTGGTGGGTCCGTTTCGGGTAGTATGCAGATGTGTTATTGTTCCATCTCCTTGATCTCGCAAGTGGGTATCGGAAGGTTTTACAGACGGATTACGGCGTGACATATTCACCCTCGTTTTGAGCCGAGAGAGCATGATCGAGCTCTTGTGGGTGAATGCTGCTGTTTGGGCATCGACCTGTGGCCAAAGAGGGTAGCCGAGCATTCTTCTGACGTGCAACCCTTGCCCTTCTGCTAGAAGGCAAGATGGCATGCGCGCTGACACCATGCGCTTTTCTCGCCTTCCACCTTCGCGTACCAAGAACAACGTCGATTTGTCCACTGCCATGTCTAAATTGTTCCGACTTACCTACTCCGTACATTCACATCGTACCTCTGTTTGGCACAAACCCTCTTTTGAAGATCTCTGTGCCATGCAAGGCATTCCAAAAACAAAGAAAAGGTGTCAAACAAAGGAGGGCACATACCTGAAGATGGAGAACGTACGCCAAGCGGTTGGCCTCCATCTCTGTATCGAAGTGGCTCGGGCCACCACTACCTCCACCAGCACTAGCACCAGCGCTGCCCGTCTTACCCCCAGCAGCCTCCCGCCCCGCTCTCCTACTGCCCGCCTCCGGGGATGACACGGCCAAATGTCTTTCCGTATTTTCTCTTTCAGCTAGCGGTGTGGCTCCGTGAGCCGACACCGCCGTGCTCCCCATGGTACTGCTTTTCCCGCCACCTCTGGACGATGCGACCGTTCCCGGCGCGGCCGTCGGAGCCGTGGCGGAGCGGTTATAGCCTGCCCCCCCTGTCGCTTCGCTCTGTAGCGTGGGAGGGGCCAGCAGCCCGTGGGAAGAGGAGGAGGAACTGCTGTTAGGTTGATAGTGACGGTTGTTGTGGTTTCCTCCGGGTGCCGTCGTTGGCGTCATGTTCCCGGCGAGGAGGCCGATGCTGGTGGAGGCGTTAGGCGGGGGGGGGAAAGTTCCCTCTTCCGGGGGGGTGAGCAGAGGGTCGGCGTTGACAAGGCCTTGCCTTGCGTCGCCGAGGAGTGTGGTCCACGTCGCCTGCAGACGAGAAAAACGATTGTTTTTCGGGTTGGAGTAAGGGCAATTGCAACACAAAATTGATGTTGTAACCCATCGACCGAACGAGGTCGCGAACATATATATATTCGGTCGCCGGTGAAGGGGAGGGTCCGAAACACAAGCAATAGACTCGCCGCTACACGCTCGATGGGTGTTGGTGTAAGAAAGGGCGTTTGTCTCTGTAGGCTGCTCTTCTGTCCAAAATATCAAACGAGAAACATATTCGTGACTGTAGGAGCGGCTGCCACGCAACACCAACGTGTGCATGGTGGGTGGGTGCGTGCGTGGCAACAAGTAGCGCTTGAAGGAGAATTGGCTGGTAGCAACACCTACGATACACTTCCAACTCATCACCTGCCCCGGTTCATCCGTGAGCGGCTGACCCCACGGAGTGACGCTCATGTCCCGCGGCAGCGAAACAGCCACCGCTGCGTAAACTCCTTCCCCGTACACAGGGACTTCCACGGGGTCAAAGTGACCGGCCTCGATCACGATGATTTCTCTCATCTTTTCGGGCAATCCCGGCCGAAAGCGGACCTTTGGGCAGACGGCACCCGAGTACAATGTGCAGCGGAAGGGAGCGGTGGTGACTATATATGCGATGAAACATTTCTGAGTCTTGCACGCGAACCTTGTGACAGCCAAGAAGCCGAACGGGGCAGCGGAAAGCGGAGGGTTTATTTCCCGGGGCGACCTCCTCTCCTTCGTGTCATGACAACATCCATCCCGGGATCTGTTTGAATCCTGCCGCCGATCATTCTTCTCTACCAAGGAAGGGCACGTCCTGATTCTCGTTTTTCCCAAGAATTGTACCTCGGTGCCGTCGACCAACCATGCTACCCCATCGGATACTCTACTGGTGCTGAACCTGTAGCCAACCACAACGAAAGTCGAATCCATCTTGTCAGAGCCTATGCGGAATGCAGAGATGCTGGAAGGACGGGCATCAGCAACACCCCACCTCGCCCGCTCCCCACGTACCCCCTCCGCACACGCCACCCCGGCCGCTCCTTCCTCACCATGATCCTTGCTTTGTTGGAGTCCTTTTTCTTTTCTTCCCCAGCGTGCACAACACCCGTCGCGGGGTGCACTTCCAACACTTTCGGTCTGGGCAGTCGGTCGAGCAGCATGAGGGAGGAGGGATAGATCAGGTCGGGGTTTGGATGCGAGCTAAAGCTAGGATAGGCTGAAGATGCCGTGGTATATTTTCCTCGATTTTCCCAGCAGAGGGTGAATCTTCTGAACACATTCGGAGCACCTGCCACATGCGCCAATCTGTGCTATACACCCGTCTCCAGAATCTCTCTGCGAAAAGTTGACAAAGCATGAGGTGGTTCGGTATGGCCGCCCTTTCTACGCACGTTCGAAGAAGTAATAACAATATGTTCAAGAAGCTTAATCCAGTTCCTCCAGGGGGGGGGCAAGAAAAGTGGTTTGTGTTAGCGCTAGAGCTGGGACTCTCCTGAACTGACCGAACAGCAGGCTGATGGTCAGCGTCCGGATTCGTTTTGGCACTAAAGGTGGGACAAGGGTAAGAAATCCTCACCTTGTCAGCTGGTCGAGCAGCACCCGGAACGGGAATGCGACCCTCCCCGTGTTTATGATGAACAGCTCTCGCTCCTCGCATCCGCTGTACAGTACACGGCCGAAGTCGAGGTGGGCCCTGTCCAGCCGGAACCCGACGTTGCTGGCCTCGCCCACGAGGTCGACCGTGTAGGCCGGGCCGCCGGTGACGTCGCAGGCACATTTGCCGAGCGCCTTCCTGTTGGCGTGGCCGTAGTAAACGAACTCCACCTGAATGGAGGGGACCACCGGTTAGAGGGAGCGACGCTTTTGGTGGCAAGACTCCCTCTGTTGAAGCAGGGTTTTGACAACAATCAATACCGTGTGAAACGCGAGAAGGACAACCTGCTGTCCCTCTTGGCCGCAGTGGGAAGTCCGTCGTCGAGGGATGCTACGATAGGGGGTACCACCTCGGTCACATGGAGTGTTTTGGCGGACTGGTGTGTACTGCCTCAACCAATGGAAAAAATGCTTATTTGTTTTGCACACCGCGAAATATACTCCAGGCGGCTGCCTGGGCAGAATTGATTTCCTTGAAATGCAAAAATTGAGAGAGTTACGAGCATTTATCTGGACCTTGTCGGGCGACAGCATGTGACCCATGTCTTAAAAAGTGGCCCCTTTACCGTAGCATTGCTCCGTCGTCGTCATTGTCGTGCGAGCCGCACACCGTAGGAGAGCCACAAGGTGTAACACTTCGCTGTCACAATTTTATCCCATAGATGGATAGAGGGTCAAAATGCCTTGTCCAACAGGCATCATCAGTCGAAGGCACTCGGCATCGCGCTATCGAAGCCGCCAAGCTGACCATGGAGGGTCCCACGTTGCAGCCGATAGATCCCAAATCCATGTCTGGAGGACATCGTGACCACTTTTCGTTTGGGATTGAATTTTGGCTCAGGTTTAGGAGTCTGCTAGCTTTCCTTTTCACTAGACAGGGTAGAGAGACAACTGGACATGCAGGAACAAGCTGTGACCTGATACCACCCAACAATAACCCAGCTGCTATAACCCAGCTGCTATAGCTGCTAGTGTTGTTTCGTGGTCCTTTTCGTTCCCCCTCTTGTCCCTCTCACCTCTTCCGACTCTCCCGGCCGCAAAAACGAGCGGATCGGCAGGATGTCGAAGATCTGGTTCACGGGGATGTAGGGCCGCCGGGCCGTTGCGCTCTGCCGGCCTTCGTCGACGTCCTCGAGAAAGGACCAGTTGAAGGTGCAGTCAACCACGGAGTTGTTTGTGACCCGGACGGCTTTTGTCATGGTCGTGTCGTTCAGGACACACCCGAAGCTCACCTGCAAGTTGTGTTGAGAATATCGATGTCGCGAACATTCGGACTCGAAAAGTTTAATTTTTTCCCAAGGCCAAAGAACTAATTGTTCGCGTTTTGAGGGTTTCGGGAACGTTGGAAGTTCGGGCGCGAGAGCCAACAGAAGCAAAATCAAGGAGCTGAACTGGAGTTGCTGTATTGTTCGGTGGTCCCTCGTCTTGTTGATAGATGTACCTAGACGTGGATTGTCAAGAAAAACCAACGGCTGACCAAGACCAACGATGATAGCCACAGCAATGCTGCCACCGCCATCACCACCACCACCACCATCACAACAACAACAACCACAACAAGATGATACAGCCAGTAATTCCAGATCGCTCTCTTCCTTCGCCAGCGTGCACCTTCAGAGTCCGCACCCCACGAAAACGAAGACTTCAACCCAGCCCACCTTGGTGTACTCGAAATCGAGGTTGGGGTAAGCTACCTCCCCGACTACGAGCAGCCCGTCCTTTTGGGGATGATCACGGTAGGTGACCGATAACTTCGACTCGTACCGGTAGCTCTGGCTGTCACCGCGATACCTGCTTGTTGGAGAAAGAAACGAAAACTTTTGTCCCAACAGCGAAAGGCGTAGTTGATGTCATGCTGCCAAGAGTATTTGGGGATGCGCAGGTCAATATGAACGCATTCGATCACGCTCGGGGCGCCGTAAATCTCAGCATACTGTAGACGAAAGTGCAAAGGTGCCAATGCGCAAACCATTGTCATCGTAGCGCTAGATAAATCATCTCTGGGCCCTTAGGTCACGGTGTTGAAGGGAAGCGTCTCACGGTGCTCGGTTTATTATTTGTCTTCCAAGAGCTGTTCCGTGTCGACACGATGGTAGGTGAACAACTTAGGGCATCGAGCAGCACAACGAGAAAACGTTTGCTTTTTTTAGTACATTCACCAATACTACTTGCATCACGTTAGGTGTCAAGCTCTCGACCTCTCACAAGCGTACTTCACTTCTCCTGGTGTGATTATTTTTATTCCTGGCATAATGATGAGCTACGTTTTGAGGCGCATAGCTGGATAGGCAAGAACAACGACAACTCAATTACCTCACCATCGCTTCACCAAAACAACGAAAGAGGCCAAAAAGACTTACCCCGGATCAAACCCAACGGTCAGCTTCCCCGTCTCCCCGACCCCGAGCGAGTGTTCCACGGCATCGACGCTGAAAGGGGGGTGAGTCCGCACGGAAAAGTCCAGCGGCAGCCGCCCGGTGTTAGTCATCTCGAGCTCCTCGAAGGACGGTGTCATGGGCACCTCCGGCTCCCACACGTGGCTGAAGTGGAACTCCGGCCGGCTGAAGCACAGCAGGGGGGCGACGAACTCGGCAGTCGCTTCCGTCTTGAACACCTGGCGCGTGTGCTTCTCCTTGCCTACTCTGGCCTCGCAGTAGAGGCTCTCGGACGCGCGCCCGATGGCCGGGCTCGTGCCCCGGAACGTGAACGTGATCGCGGTGCGCGGGCGCAGCTCGATCTCCTGCGGGGTGACGGTGAAAGCCGCCTGCGGCGTCATCTCCGCGCGCCTCGAGCCCCGGCTACTACCGACGCCGCCGCCGCCGCCGCCGCCGTTCGCCTGCAGGGCGGCGTCCTTCTTGTGCTGCGCCTTAAGCCTTGCCGCGGCGATCATCTGCTTTTCCTTGACGGTGCTGTTTACCCACTTGAGAGCCTGTTGTCTTCGCCCTTTGTTCTCCAGCGTGATGCGCCGGACGCAGGTGCTGTTTTTTGGTCACACACGCGGGGGGATATTTTTGTGTAGAGGGGGGCCGCTTAAGTCATTGCCAATGAAAGTCATGGCCGACAGCGATGAAAACCCATGAAAATAGTATCATACTAAGAGGAAAGAGGAACAAGGTGTCCTCCGACGTCAAGGGCATGCTTCTGGGAGTCATAAGGAGGTGTACGGGTAGACTGCCTTCTGTTTCCCGGTTGCTCTACAACTGCAGGACGCGATAGCAGTTTAGCACCATAACAATGAAAGCGAAACGATTACTACTTTGATGTATGAAGTTCTGAAACGACACTAAGCGTATCATGCGGTACTTGCTCTCCATCTTTTGAGCCACATTCAAAGCTACTGTTGGTATTCCATTGCTCCCGTGGTCCCAAGCACGTGTGACTCTTGGTACCTGTGCTTTTGGAAACAACATAACTATCATCAAACTGATGCAACAACCACAGCAGCGTCAGCATCGTAGTCGGCATGAACAACCCCATCAACGACAACAGCACCACCACAATAACATCAACATTCGGTAAATATACCAACAGCAACACCAAGGCTTTGGAACGCGCGTCCTGTGAAACTTAACCCAGAAGCAACCCGCGGACCTGTTGGTGAACACCGGGCCAAAGTCTACGACGGAGATGTCTTCGGCGCACCACACGGTGGGACCCGTGCCTCTGGCCGAAAGAGGGATGAGGAGGTTGTCTCCCTCGGTGACGATTACGTGGATCTCGTCCTTGTGGCTTGTTGTGTCGTCCAGATTCGCGGTGATGGTCAACGCGACCTCCTACCAAAGGGAGCCCCCCCCGCCCGGCGAAACAACGACGATAGCACAAACAGACAAGTTTGTTTGTTGATTAGACCGAAGAAGCTGACATTTGTTTTTAGAAAGTAAACCTTTATTGTGATTCGGAAGCATAATGCCTCACTGGGGTCACCTGAGAATGATGAATCACGACGATATTACAAAACATGCGGCTCAGACGGTTTGGTGAAGGAAGTTACCGAACAGCATGCGAAGCACCCGCAGACTACGTAGCCACCTCTCGTGACTTGCCGTATCTTTTAAGTTTATGGTAATGGTCAACGCCACTTCCTGCCACACATGACCGGAAAATAACAACAACTGCATGCAACACCAGCCCTCTCAAGTACCACTGGACAAAAATGGCCACGTCGTCCCCACTGGGAAAGCTCGAGAATACTACACCAAGTACGTCCGCCCCAAGAAAGGAAGCTTACGTTATCAAACGGCCAATGCGCCTGATCACGATAGCCCCCACAACAATAGCAACAACACATCAGCAACAACAGCAACGACGACTATCCCTACCTCGGACGGAGCAAGCACCCCCTCGCGGATATCCACCCTATACTTGGACCTTGAGCTCTTCAGGAAAACCTTGAACGGGGCAGGAATCTTGCCGGTGTTGGAGAGCTGGAGTCCACGGGGCGCGTCCACGAGGCACGGCGTCGGGCCCCACGCGATGGACTCCAGGTCCGGCTTAACGACCGGGCCGATGCTCGTCGCAGTGATGGTGACCTTCGTAGGTGAATGTTCACGACATGCGGGGTATCTCAGCCTCTCCGTGTATCCTCTGTGCAAATTATTTGTGGGTGTATGCTCACGACATGCAGGAGGCCGAAACCTCTCCGTGCAGTGCTTGAGAAGTCCTACAACTTCCCCTGGTTTGAAGGAAGAAAGAACTCGACAAAGCTGCTGTGGCGGGGAAATTGTTGTGCAGCTACAGCAGCGCTGCATTGCTCTAATACCTGCAGAGGAGGCTCGACGCTGCCTTTTATCTCGACTGTGACAGGAAGGCGAAAGCCTCCGAGCTTCTCGCACGTGAGCCACAGTTTCACCTCGGCTCTTCCTCCCGGAGGCACCTTGTCGATTCGTTGCCGTTGTTGTCGCTTATTAGTTGTTGTTGTCGTTGTTGTCGTTGTTGTTGTTGTTGTTGTTGTTGTTGCTGCTGCTTTCATGCTCGTGCCTATGTTGAGCTCGCGATATGTTGTGTTTGCGTGTTCTCTGTGTTGGGCTTGTGTTTCGGGATTTACTTGCGTTTGTTTCACGGCCGTCTGCTTCCAGTGGCCGAAGCTATTTTTTGTACAAGAAAGGTACATGATGAAGACCGACACTGTGGGTGTGTTCCATGTACGAACGACAATTTCCACCTATCCTTCTTACTTCGGCGACTCCCCCAGCCGGTGTTAGGGATTTGGTGTAGGGCTGCCGTCGAAGGCGGCGGAGGCTGAGAGTTTGGGTAGGAACCGAGGGCACTATCCGGGAGCATAGTGAAGAAAACATATATTCTTTACAAGGACAGAAAAAAAATGGTGTTTTGACGATCTAGGTACCTGTCCTTCCTCCGGCTCCGGCGACACTCTCGCGATCGCGTACGTCGAAGCGGCCTGCGGCACAACCCTGAACAGCCCGGTCAGCTCCTTGTTCGTGTTCACGAGGACCAGCGTTCGCGGCTCGTGGAAGCGGACGAAGCACTCCCCGAAGGCCAGGTCTTTGGACTCCAGCTCGACCGCCGGCACCTGGCAATCCGCCTTCAGGGGGATGCTGAGCAACTCCTCGCCGACACCCTCGACGTCTACGGTGATGTAGTACTCGTACACCTGCAGATAGTTTGTGGGGGTAGATGCAATAGTATTAATAGTGAGACCTCGCGACGACCGCAGGTAAAACCCGGTACAATGGCCTGTTAAAAGTATCAACACTGGTGATATGGTAGGGAAGGACCGCGTTAAACGCTCGGGCTGAGTCGTCGCGGTTAATGGGCTAGATGATTGGCTCGTTCATCCTGTCGAATCACTTGTTTGAACGTGTCGTAGAACAAGAGGGTGGTGTCGATTCGACCCCCCCAGGATATTATGTCGCGTTGCGCATCCCTCTTCCCCACTTGAAAACACATGATATTCGATGACCGGTCTGGTTGAGTTCTGTGCGAACGAGCCCCGTTTGTATCCTGATCCTAACGCTGGCCCGGAACAGTCTCAACTTGCATCTGATCAAGTCTTGGTTTTGATGCGATCAAATTTCACGTAGTACATTGACGTTGCCTCATGAGCGCGAAAAGGTTAGTTGACGCCCTTACCGTCCCTACCCGTACCCGCAACCCTTCCCCCTGGTTCTACAACTAAGGAAAGCTAAGACCACGGCCCAGCACCTTGACAGTCTGGCTCATGAGCTCCACGAGGAGATCCACGCTCTGGCCCGCCGACAGGGTTCCCCTGGAAGGCGTTATCGTCAGCTCCCGCTTCCGAAATTTTCCGTCCTGCGGCACCCTCGCCCGCCAAACCATGGAGATATCCGAGGTATTGGTGAGGACGATGGAGGCGCTGACAGGGCAGTCGTAGCTCACTGCCCCGAAGTCGATCTCGTCCACGTTGAAGTGGAAGGTCGGGCCGATCTGACCGGTAGACAGACGGAGGATAAACAGATAGACAGACAGGCGGACAAGGCGAGGCAGCGTACTTGGTACTGTGTTTGAGCAAGCCATACGACGTGGATACTCTTGTTCTTGAGCTACCTTGCACGCATGTCTACGAAAGAAGAGAAATTAAACGAAGCCAACAATCGCCCCCGAAACCAATGTTGCAGAAGAGAAATAAACACCTGAGTGCCGCCTCGATTACGAGGTGACGACCAAGTACGTTCCATCATTTCTAGCGAAGAGAATAGAAAAACCTTACGCAGTAGAACATCTGGACCACCATCTGTGTCTGAGGGATATCTTTAACCCCTTCGGGCAGTGAGGACTTTGTTGTGCCATCCGCAACGATAAGTAATCGTGAACGTAACAGAGGAACTTACCACGTGCCCTTTAAATTGGCACGGTACGGGTTCCTCGTTCCCCCTGAGGACGAACCGGAACAATTCCGAGAACTCCCCAAGGATGTCCGACTCGAACTCCATCGTTACGGTAATGCTTTTCCCCGTGAAGAAACAAAGAAAACAATCGAGGCAAATGAAACAGTTAGGCGGAACTATCTTGACCTTCTAGACGGGGAGCGGGACAACACGATCGCAATAATACGCTTGGGTAACGGTTCAAATTATGACAAGAGTGCATGACATAATTGATGTGGAGTGAGCCTGGCTACGACTGGAGGGTCGCGCCAGTTCGTAGGAAGGCAGAGATAAGTGGGAGACGCCATCAACTATGTTTTGTGTGAACGAACGCAGCAACAAAAGCAAAAACATCAACAATGAAACCATGATCACCACGGCGAACGAACTTGAATAGCCAAAAAAAATACATTTGCAACAGGGGCAACGATTCTGTTCAAATCTAGAACGCCCGTTCGCAACATACCTGTCCTTCACATCCAGGGTGCCCTTCATCGGGCCGAAACGGAACTTGCGCGCGAACGGCGTCTGCGGCGCCTGGAGCGTCCAATCCGCGGCGATGTCCCCGCGGTTAAGCAGCGTCACCTGGTGAACGTGCCTGCTATTGATGAAGACATCCCCCATGTCCAGCACGTCGAAGCTCAGCACGACCTTGGGGCCGATGCCGCTCCCGCCGAGCCGCAGCGGGAGCCGCTCCTCCCTCCCGATGCAGTCGAGGAAGGCGTGCGAGCCGTACTCCGTCGTCGTGCGCGGGCGGAAGAACACGGTTACCTCGATCTCGCTCCGGGCCCAGATCTCCCCCTCTAGCGGGCGGATCTCGAAGATTTCGTCCGCGAAGAGCATCGCGTCTTTGCCCAGCGCTCGCCGGAGGTGCCGGTACTTGCGTTTGAGCGCCGCCTGGGCCGCCTGGACGCTCGGGGGCAGCCCTACCGATGACGACGCCGTCACGGTTCCTGCCCCTTCTCCTCCACCTCCGCTGTGGCTAGCTCCCAACACGGCCACGGTGCTTGCCGTGGCGGTGGCCCACTCCTCCTGACGGTGGTCGGTTAGCTCTAGTTTTAAGGAGATATTGGAAGAATCGTCGAAGGCACCCACCAGTGTACTTGCATTTGAACGCGGCGTTTCTAACTTTACGCAACAACGCCTGCCGAACCACAACGCCCACTCAACTTGTCATTTCTCTGTAGGTGCCATTCTCGCTGTGGGCCAATCACGTGTAAATTGGTGGGAGGCAACATTACCGAAAGTCTTCCTTGAGTACCTCGCTAGGCTGACACACAAATTTCGGCGAGCTTCCCACATTTTGTGTATGCCCCAAATTGGGTCTGTCTTCCCACGGAACGCACACAGCTTGTATTGTTTTTGGGTTAAGTCTTACGGTCAAGTGTTCTGTTTGGCTACGTAGAAAAAAAACACCTGGTCGGAGTAGTCGTCGGTTTCGTCTCCGTCGGTTTGAGGTCCCTCCTCATCTCCACCACCACCGGTGCCGCCGTTGCCACCGCCACGGGCACCACCGGATTGCTGGCCGGCAACCGTTCCGCTCAGCAGGGCTTCCTCTTCCAGGCTTTGCATCCTGGCCATTTCAGCGTGCAGCCTGCTCCGTTCCTCCTGAAGCGGTACAATAAAGGCCGCAGTCGGAAGGGGAGGGAATGCTGTTGTGAGTTGTGTGTGTCTCGTCACGTCTCTCTACCGAGCAAACACAACTTAGTGCAAACCGCGAGAGGCCCATAATTTTTCTCTCCAATATCAATACATGACACCCAAAATTACTCAAATTTATCACACATGCCCCATTAAACACAATGCACGTACAGTACTCAATTGGGCGTCGCTGTCATCTTTTAAAGTTTTGTTTTTTTCGCGAGCCTAACTGCCGCTAAAACCGACCCAAGTGCATCGATCCAACACCATCACAGGGCACTTCTGCCAACTTGGTTACTCTACCTCCTCCTCCTCGGACGTAGCGAACGCCTCCCACGAAAACTTGACGGGAATCTCACTCCTGTTGACGATCTTGAGTGTCTTCTGGCTGCACAACCCTATATACGCCGGCTCGAGTTGAAGGTAAGGCGTGCTGAGGCAAACGTCGACCCCTCCCGCCGAGGCAGACAAAGCCACAAATGTCCTCTCCCCGCTGTCATATTCCACCACTAGCTCTCCCTCGTACCTTGAATCGCAAACAGCCATATTCAGGAACCGGTTCAGCTTATTAGACGACACCGGTGGGTGGTAAAAGTACGCTTTCTACGGAGGCTTTCCCAAGATAGCCTGAACGCTCTGGGTTGATGCAATTGAGCAGGTGAACCCGCCGCACAAGTTGAGCACAACATGCGTAGGTTTGACCCGCAACTTATCCCACCCAAATCGCATTCTTATCTCCAAGCTATGTACGTAACGATCTCTTTGCAAGCGTTAGACCCGAGGTCCTCACCGTATCCCTCTGGAATACCCCGACAGAGCGCTCAAGGACGCAGCCGAGCTCCAGCGGATTAGTTCTGCGTTCGAGGTAAACGCCTACCCGTTACCCATCTCCGGTCCCGACCTCAGCACCTCATTCATGCCCCAGCAAGCCTATATTTCCATGTCTCTAACCTGATAGACCGTTCTGGGTTGAACGCCAACTCCAGCTGAGAGCTTGTCCCAACGGGAACAACCACTTGCGCAGGGTTGATGCTGAAAGTTCCGGCGGGCTCGCAGGAGAGGGATGCGCTAGCCGTGCGGGTGCCGAGATTTCGTACCACGATGTTCTTGGTCCCGGTAGCTTTTACGGCCGTGTGAGGCATGACGATCTTGTATTGATATTATAGGTTGGGTACGTGTAGGGGTGGTGATGATGAGAAGATGTTCAAGAAACTAAGAGGGTGGACAGGCTTCGTTTAGGCAGGGTGGTTGTTGAAACGTCGAGAAAGTGCCACCAACCACTCTCCCCACGGGTACCACCAGCCGTTTTACGTTGTCGTCCACAACCACTTCCTCCTTCCCTGCTTCAATGAACCGACTTCATATACCGCCTCATTCCTGAGTGCGATAGACAACTCTTGATAAAGCCTCGCAAACGCACGCATGAACATACCTGGTCTGGAAAATCCAACGCGGCGCGGTGCCCCAGAGCTCCAACGGGAACGACAAATTTCTCCCTCTCCGTCACGACCATCAGCTCGACCGAGTAGGCTCGGACCTCTTGCGGCTTGAACGTCACCACGTAACACACCTCCATGCCGGGGGCCACCTTCATCCGTACGTTTAGAGTTTCTGTGAGCCTCAACACACGACGAAGTCGGGAAAAAGACAGAAACGCCGTACCACGCAGCGCTGCAAAACTACCGCAATGCAGCACCTTCAAAAAACATTTGACAGCAACTTCGTACAAATGGAGGCCGGTCGGAGCCTTGATCGTTCAGGAGGGATTTCTCTAATGGGCGATACCGAACGCTTTAGAGGATGTGAACATTCTGAGCAGACAGGACATAACGTCACTCAAACTCTGTGTGACAGCAGTAGCAATTTCTGCAGTCCGCAAGTCACTGCACCTTGGTTTGCTTGAGAGCCTTCAGCTTTTGGGGGCTGCGAGGACCAGACACCGAGAAGTGAGGGCTGTCCAGGGGAAGGAGCTTGAGCCGACGGTTGACCGAGTCGTTGTTCCTGAAGCACAGCACCTTCTGCTGCTGACCGAACGCCTCGTACCCCTCGAACACGACTCTCGAGGGGTGGGGCTGAAACAGCGGCTCGTCCAGCCTTACCGTGCTCGTCACCGCCGAGGTGTTGTCCTCCAGGTTCAGGAACTCCACGATGCGCGGTGTGGCGAACGCGTCCGCTACCAGCCCTCCGCCGCCACCGCCGCCGCGAGTGACTTCAAGGATCAGATCGGACGGCCGGATTCGCGTGTCCTGCTGGTCCTACGGTTGATACGAGACGTGTGACAACAAGCCGAACGTTCGGTGAATGGAACTTTGGTGTCATCAAGGAGCGAACCGCAGAATGAAGTCCTACACGAACAGGAACCAGTGCAACCTTTGCACAACGAATACACTTCATGGCGCTTCCAGGCTGGTAGGTTCCCCTCAGGTGGTGCACTGCAGAGGACACGTGTGGCGCTACATGTTTAAAAAAAGCACGGAAACTCTCAGCAAAATTTGGCTTCCGGTTTTCCATGCCAAGAGCAGGGAATGATCACACGACACGCCATCAGCAGGGTCTTACGTCCACCGACGGTTTGTTTGTCGCTGTCCAGTGCACGTGTATTGTACGACATTGGAAGCTAACACTCGTCAGATTCGCCAGGTGACATGACCTCTCGACCATTCCCGCCCAGCAAAACTGACGCTAGACGCGTAGTGTAGACTCCAACCAAGTATTTGGTGCTGGAAGGTGTAGACTCCAACCAAGTATTTGGTGCTGGAAGGTCTAGACTAGTCTAGAAGTTTCTACGCCAACAAAATGTTGGTGCAAGCAAGGTCTCCCTGGTGTGCATACGCAGCTCTTCGCTGCCACCCACACCCTCTACTCTTTGTAACTTTGTGGTCCTCTCTTTTGGGAACGTCACAAATTGCAAAGAGTAATAATTGTGCGTCTCTGCTTCTTTCTGACACCCTCGCGTGCAAACGTAAACTTTTACGAGAACTGAAACATGTACTTCTACATAAAGTCATAGTGCAGCTTTCAGAACAAGAAGGAGCCGATCCGAGCGCTGACTGAGTGCCGAGCGGGCCAGAGCATCTCAGATAGACGGCAAGTGCCCTGCCGCGATGATACTGTAGAACTATTGGTATACGCACGAGAGCAATAGCAGCAGTAACAGCATAGCAAGGGCAGCAAACGAGGTTTGTGGCTTGTACATGGAGAAATCCGTTCTGCCATAAAACTACAAGTAGTAGGGCTACTTGTATCGTTCTTTTTTCGCACCTGAAGTGCTCGACGCTTCGAAGTCGGTTTGTGGTACTTCATGCGCTCCCTCCCCGCCGACTTCTTCTTTATAGGCTTCTCCGCCGATCCTCCTTTCATGTCACCGCCCATCTTTGCGGTGGCATCGTACGTTTGGATAAGACCTTCCGCGGCGTGTGGAGCTAGCAGGTCGGTCTCCTGGTTCCGAGACATGGTGCCCCTCTTTCGTGCCTATGTCAAAAGCTAGGAAGGGTTGTGATCTTCCCCACCGACCACGCCTCCCCGGCCTCTCTCTTGCTGCCAGAACGGTATCGGGCAGCCTCTGCCGACGGAGCTACGTCATTGTAGGCCCTTTCTTGATTGTGGACAAGCGACTCTCACCTCCGACCTCTCCTGGTTCACCCTACTCGGATCCTCGAGACCGCGCTAGCAGGATCTGCTCGAGATCGGTTTGCGCGTGGCGGTTTCCATCATGACGCCGCCAGAACCAATCGAACTCCTTCGGCCCGAAGTTCCGCCGCACCGATGCACCGATCCTCTCACGTTCTCACGTTTCGACCGTTCCTGCGTTCTTGAGCACATCAACCAGATCAGATCGTCATTGACCCGGGGGGAACCTCGCGGCACGCCCCACACACGCGTGGGAAGTAGCGACTGGCCTGTCCTCTGCTGTTCTCCAGGGCTTGCACGCTGGAGAATCTTGCCTGCAGATCCCGCCTCCATTTTGGTCTTCGTCTCGTGCGGACCCACCGCCGTGCTATCCGCGCAAACGCGGTGTCACCTTTGTTGGTTTCATCCGCGTCCGGCCGCTGAGATTTCTACCGTTGTGCCTTGTGCCGTGCCCTCGGGCGCACGTCAGCAGCGACAGCAAGGGTTATCGCCGCCCGTGAAAGTCTTCACACAAGCACACAGCAGCAATGTGGCTGTGGAAGAACCTCGCCTCTGCCACGACCAATATCCTTGGCCCAGCGCCAACCTCCTCCTCTTCCTCCTCCTACTCTGCTTCATGTTCTTCCTCTGAGGGTTGCTCGAGTGAAGACGAAGAGTCACAAGCACCGTGTTCGTCGCTGTCGCCCGCCCGCAGCACTAGGAGCAGCAGCGACCGGAAAATGCCGGCGATGAAGTATTCCAAGCTCCCGCCCGCGCGTGCACCAAAAGCACATCTTCCACCTGTTGCGTTAGTCACTAAGCAGCACAAGGAGAAAGATCTGGAGGGTCAGGGGCGGGAGAGGGAAGAGGAGGAAGAATCGCAACAACATGGTGAGTGGCATTACTTACGTGTGCACCTAGAGATCGTTACAGGGCTTTCGAGACACTCCTTCACAGCTTTTGTATATTATAGTCTAGACTGCTGTGTTAGGGTTGCACCCATGGATCACACTGCTGGGTTACCACCGGCCGCAAGTACCGTACGGTCTTGCCTCTCTTACCGGAGACTTCCGAGGTTGGGTCTCATAACTTGAAACCTCTGCTGTGTACTGCCGTCATTTTTTCAGTCGACTGATTAACATCAAGAGTGATTAACGAAAAAACAAAACGCGAGAAGGCCCCAGCATTCTCAAACGTCGGGTAGGTGTATAGACTACTCACGAACAAGCACCGTCAACATGAAGGTGAAAAACGTGGCAATACCTTGCTCAGTTTCGTACCCTCAGCCTACCCGTTAGATGCTGTATCGACGCTACCAACTGAAACAAACTGCTGAAGAACGTTAAGCACGTTTGTCATTATTAATATGTTAGGGGCGCCATTTGAGGCTGTCAAGGCTACCGGTGCGGTTGCACACTTTGCATGAACTCAGCTTACGTTTGAGGTGTGCTGCGAACGATGATGTTTTCCTTCTTTCTTGCTTCTCATGCTTCAACCCTGCAAAATGCGCAGAGCTGGTAGATACTGCTCATGTCATGCTGTATTCACCGGAGGAAAGCACTACCTGTCGACATCGCACGCGCTGCACACGACTTGATTGACTGATTATAACCCGTTGTTTGCACATTTTTTCCACCCAGAAAAAACCACGTCCTCACTCCCGCAGCAAGGCGAGGCACCCCCAGGAGAGCTCGGCGTGCAGGACGCTCTTGTCCACCTCAATCAGGTACACGCACAGGAGACTGTTCGTAGTGGAATGAGATATGGCAAAAAAAATCCAGTTTGATTGTCTCAATGCATGACAGCACGGCACGTGCGTATGCATGTCGGCGATGCGGAGATTTTATAATCCGAGAGGCATCGTGTACTTTAACCTTGGGCGACAGTCTGCCCACAGACCTTGTATCGGCGCAAGTCGTACAACCCCTTCCTCTCTCTCTCGTAATTTGGTTGGTTACCCGACTATCTGGTCGCAAACACCTTGTTACTCGGTGCTGTGTATGGTGTTTTCGTTTGGCCCCGTGAGCAGAGAGTCCAGTGGAGAACATCGAGAGGAGCCAATTACATGGACAGTGTCGGAAAGGCAGTAGAGTTACAAGCACACACGCGACATCTGATGATCTAAAAATTAGTTTCGAAGTATGTATATGTACATCCTTGGCTTGACGTTATGGATTGGATTGGGGTCGATTTTTTACTCGCACACACGCAGATGGCATGGAATCCCATGGTCTAAAAAGCGCGTATTGTGTTTTGTTCGGCTAAGATTGGCGTAATTTCATTGGTCAGCCAGTTGGCACGCCGAAACCCAGTTCAACAAACAATTGTGCGGCCAATGCTAGTTTCATACATATACACAAGCACGACTGTTGCGGTTGTTTTCAATCGGAAACATTGCCGCCTGTTCATCGGCAAGCCAGTTAGCAAGGTGTACTGATTTGTGTTTTGTCGTTTACGCCTCAGGTAAGTCGCGAGGTGAGAGATGCGATGGAGATGTCCGACGAGTTCCTTAACATCATAAGGAGAACCAACCCGACGACCTACGAACAGATTCTGAACTGCACCAAGAACGCCAAGCTCCGCGACATCATGAAGAAAGCTAAGGTGACGTGGCTACTGTTGGCTGAATATCTTGTTGCTTTCGCTGTTGTTGCTGTTGCTGTTGCTGCTCCTGCTGCTGCTATCGTTCTTGTTGCTGGCACTGCTACCGTGTTGTTGCTAGTGTTGTCGCTGCTGCTGTGGTTGATGCCGTTTCAACATTGTTGCACGCACGGACATGGAGTACCTTGGTTTGGTGCTTTCCAGAGGCCACTCGCCCCCGCGAGTCCGTGCCCCCTCACCCTCAACTAGCCACACGTGCGTCGAGTAACGGAGATCATGTTGGACACACGGCCGCGAATGAAGCGTTGATTGCAAGGCGTCGTGCGGGATATCTCCCACCTTCAGCGTGTCGACGTTATTTTTTCTCTCGGCACCAAGGTGTTCCTGAGGCCACCCCCCCCCCCCCCCCCCCCCCCCCCCCCCCCCCCCCCCCCCCCCCC